CTATTGGGTTCAGGTCTGGTGACTGGCTAGGCCACTCCAGGACCTTGAGATGCTTCTTACGGAGCCACTCCTTAGTTGCCCTGGCTGTGTGTTTCGGGTCGTTGTCATGCTGGAAGACCCAGCCACGACCCATCTTCAATGCTCTTACTGAGGGAAGGAGGTTGTTGGCCAAGATCTTGCGATACATGGCCCCATCCATCCTCCCCTCAATACGGTGCAGTCGTCCTGTCCCCTTTGCAGAAAAGCATCCCCAAAGAATGATGTTTCCACCTCCATGCTTCACGGTTGGGATGGTGTTCTTGGGGTTGTACTCATCCTTCTTCTTCCTCCAAACACGGCGAGTGGAGTATAGACCAAAAAGCTATTTTTTTGTCTCATCAGACCACATGACCTTCTCCCATTCCTCCTCTGGATCATCCAGATGGTCATTGGCAAACTTCAGACGGGCCTGGACATGCGCTGGTTTGAGCAGGGGGACCTTGCGTGCGCTGCAGGATTTTAATCCATGACGGCGTAGTGTGTTACTAATGGTTTTCTTTGAGACTGTGGTCCCAGCTCTCTTCAGGTCATTGACCAGGTCCTGCCGTGTAGTTCTGGGCTGATCCCTCACCTTCCTCATGATCATTGATGCCCCACGAGGTGAGATCTTGCATGGAGCCCCAGACCAAGGGTGATTGACCGTCATCTTGAACTTCTTCCATTTTCTAATAATTGCGCAAACAGTTGTTGCCTTCTCACCAAGCTGCTTGCCTATTGTCCTGTAGCCCATCCCAGCCTTGTGCAGGTCTACAATTGTATCCCTGATGTCCTTACACAGCTCTCTGGTCTTGGCCATTGTGGAGAGGTTGGAGTCTGTTTGATTGAGTGTGTGGACAGGTGTCTTTTATACAGGTAACGAGTTCAAACAGGTGCAGTTAATACAGGTAATGAGTGGAGAACAGGAGGGCTTCTTAAAGAAAACCTAACAGGTTTGTGAGAGCCGGAATTCTTACTGGTTGGTAGGTGATCAAATACTTATGTCATGCAATAAAATGCAAATTAATTACTTAAAAATCATACAATGTGATTTTCTGGATTTTTGTTTTAGATTCCATCTCTCACAGTTGAAGTGTACCTATGATAAAAATTACAGACCTCTACATGCTTTGTAAGTAGGAAAACCTGCAAAATCGGCAGTGTATCAAATACTTGTTCTCCCCACTGTATATATATATATATATATATATATATATATGTATATGTATGTGTGCATATGTGTATATGTGTATGTATGTGTGTATATATATATATATGTATATATATATATATATGTATATATAAAAATAATAATAATAATAATTTGACCAAATATTTAGAAAGAGGTCATTGTTTCATGGAGTCTGTGAAGGAAGAAACCACATGGAAAAAGTGGTAAGCAAGTTAGGTCCAAAAAATAGATTGTCACCAAGTCAAATTAATTTATTGTGTTAGAGGTATAATTATGCTTGTATCTAAGCCAAAGTAGATCATTTAAAAATGATTCTATACATCAGTTTGGGTCTCTATAAGCTTCAATATGAGGTCCTAAACCTAGCATGAAAATGTTTGCCTTGGAGTAAGTTGAGCCAATGGCTATGGTGTAAGTTGAGCCAATGGCAAGTTGAGCCAATTGAAATGGTAACAACAGGGCCTGGCCTATGTTAAAAGTGATTGTTAAGTGTTAAGCCTGTGTTAAAATATGCTTTAAAATGATTAAAAGACAAAAAGCAATTGTGATTGTGTTGAATTGGGTTTGGGAAATAAAGATACAGTGAGAGAAAAAAGTATTTGGCTCCCAGCATCCTGGAATATACACTAAGTATACCAAACATTAGGAACACCTTCCCCCCACTTTTGTTCCTAAGAACAGCCTCAATTCATCGGGGCATGGACTCTACAAGGTATCAAAAGCGTTCCACAGGGATGCTGGCCCATGTTGACTCCAGTGCTTCCCCCAGTTGTGCCAAGTTGGCTTGATGTCCTTTGGGTGGTGGACCATTCTTGATACACACGGGAAACTGTTGAGTGTGAAAAACCCAGCAGCGTTGCAGTTCTTGACACAAACTAGTGCGCCTGGCACCTACTACCATACCCCGTTCAAAGGCACTTACATTTTTCTGAATGGCATACGTACATAATCCATGTCTCAATTGTCTCAAGGCTTTAAAATCCTTCTTTACCCTGTCTCCTGCCCTTCATCTACACTGATTGAAGTGGATTTAACAAGTGACATCAATAAGGGATCATAGCTTTCACCTGGATACACCTGGTCAGTCTATGTCATGGAAAGAGCAGGTGTTCTTAATGTTTTGTATACTCAGTGTATGTAGATATCTTTGTTAGAAAAACATTATATATTTCCCTTGATGTAGTGATACTGAATGTCAAAAATGGCTCAACTTACCCCACTCTCCCCTATACAACAGTTGATTATTGAAAAAGCCCTCTCTAATGCATGGCACAAAGTCAACAAACACACACATAAACCATCTGTATTAAACAATTTCTTTTAGCTAGAATAATGACATGATGATACACTATAGATCCCCCATTCGTACATTCAGTTACCAACACATCAGTTTAATCATATGTATCATCTCAGCCAGATCCAGTCATTACAAAGGAAACTCCACCATCCTCTGGACGTGTTTAACGATCTGGTCCCCACAATAGTAAACAAACAAAAGTTTGACCAACTGGTGACATTTTGTTAGTTCTCACAAGGTCATATGCTATTTCTAGGAGGTTTAGAGTTAAGGTTAGAATTAGTGTTAGGGTTAGAATTAGTTTTAGGGTTAGGAGCTAGGGTTAGGTTTAGGGTTAGGTTAAGGGTTAGGTTTTGGGATTAGGGTTAAAGTTAGGGGTTAGGGAAAATAGGATTTTGAATGGGACTGAATTGTGTGTCGTCACAAGGTTAGTTATACAAGACTGTGTGTGTGTGTGTACGTGTGTGTGTACATATTTAACTATACTTGTGGGGACCAGAAGTCCCCACAAGAATAGTAAACTAAGAAAAAAATGGACCAACTGGGGACATTTTGTTAGTCCCCACAAGGACTAGGAGGTTTAGGGTTAAGGTTAGAATTAGTGTTAGGGTTAGAATTAGGGTTAGGGGTTAAAGGTTAGGGTTAGGAGTTAGGTTTAGGGTTAAGGTTAGGTTTTCAGGTTAAGGTTAGGGTTAGGTTTAGAGTTAGGGGTTAGAGAAAATATAATTTTTGACTGGGAATCAACTGTGTCTCCCCACAAGCTTGGTTAATCACGACTGTGTGTGTGTATGTGTGTGTCCAATAAGAACTAAACCAGAAATATATAGGCTATTGATATCGACACAGTATAAAACCCACACAAGACAGGTACCGAATACAAACAAATACAGTCATTCCACAACTGGGAGATGGAAAACAAGCATATAACACACAAGCTCAACTCTCAACGATATTATAAAGTACAGTAGAGTAGTAATAGAAGCACTATGGCAATGTTATCTCTCATTACACATAATAATAGTGTAATCAATTAATCAAAGGGATAGATCAAAGTTTGGTACATGCTCTCATACCGCATATCTTTTTCTCATGTTCCGTCTTGTATTGAATTAAAATCTGAATTACTCCCACTATAAAGTACATAATGACAGGCAGACTTCTGTTGTATACCTGAGAGTAGTGGTGTGGTGTGCTATTCAAACAGGGGGAACCAAACTGATTTAAAAGAGGAAAACCATATTAACATGCAATAATTATATAATTATATTGTATTATATCAGTATGCAGCATAAAGAGTTGGATAAAAACAAATAGTTGCTGAGAATAATCCAAGCACACGAATCTTCTCAATCTAGCCCCATTATGTCAACTTGTCAACTTGTTCCAAGCTGATGTAAATATGGAGAATTAACTTTCAGCGTCGTGAGTAGATAAGCATAAAGTTTCCTGTGAACGTTTCTAAATGACTAATTCATCACCATGGAAGCTACAGTATGTCCCTGCTTTGACTGATATATTGAATATCTACCCACCACTTCTTCCACAGTCCGTTAGATTCTCTGAAAGCATAGAGTTGAACTATTATTATTAAAGACTGAATCAGTCAAAGACCAGTATTACTCATCCACTCAGTCTGACTCCTCAGTCATCTATCTACTTCTCAGACATCTACTTAAGACTTTGCTTTATTCTGTCTCACAGACAAGCTGAACTTGGAGTGAAACAGACAAGTTATACATCACAGGCGAAACATTCTGATTGATGATAAGGCAAGGGAATAAAATAAACGTTCCGTAACCAGCAGCCCTATTTCACACCGCCTAAGGACATCTCAACGTGATGAAGGATTGGAGGGGGTGGGGCTACTTGGTACAGGTGACGTGAGTTTCCACGCTAGAGGGAACACACCAGGGACCATGAACAGGAAACTAGGGACCTCTCCTCTCTCCCTTACATCACGTTCTGGTAAACATGTCTAAACATATTAACGTTAACTCCCATACACCATTACCTCTGCATGTGACTGACATTTACTGTCCCACGTTTCGGCCTGTGACCTTTTTCAAGACACGACAACCAAAATGTTCACAATAAACAGCATGTGTATCCTGAACGCAGGAGTGATCTTTTATAATGTCTCACCACCTGGTCCTCCTGCAGAAGAAACCCTTCTCCACAGGGTAATGTACTGCAGAGCCTGGCTTGTGGAAGCTCATGCAAAAGGTAAGTAACAATGCTAGGATTAGATTTTCTGATTTCAAAAGGTGTCTGGTTGTCTTGGATTCCAGATTAAACCTTGAATTAACTAACCAGTGAGTCAAAAACGACACCTTTGTGTCAGAACATAATCTGCAATTTGGGGATCCAAAAGAACAAAGTACAAAACATAGCAGACAAAACATGATGAGAAATCATAATCCAGTGGCGGTATAAGAATATATTGACGTCTTCATCATGGACTTCTCAACCACAACTTGGTTCAGTGAGAACCACCACTCATGCTTCTTTCTCTTGTGTACTGTTGACTGCTCCGTAGCTCCCATCCCCTGTCCTTAGTTTCCTGGACTGTATTATTTCCACTGAGGCTTTCTTGCGGTTGCTGGCTAGGCCCATCCAGCACATGAGATCGATAAAACAGGTGGTGGGGTTGAAACGCAGGCCGAACTCACTGGTAGAGTAGTCAAAGGGGAAAGTATGGTGGAAGTTATGGAAACCCTCACCTAGGGGAATGTGGATGGGGGATAGGTGGGGAGTGGAAGTACAAATGTTATATGTATTCTTTTGCATACAGTTCCAGTAATTTCAATCCATTAATCTTACAATATCAGACAATATATCAGACAAGTCAAAGCAGTAATGAAGAGTGACCATAGATATAACAACATTATCAGTCACCACAGTATAAGATATTGTATAGGAGTTATAACATGTAATAACAGGTCATAGCCAGACTCACCGATGGCTCCGAAGGTGACCCAGCGGTTCTCGCGGGGGCTGATGTTCTGGTCGTACGGTCGGTTCCCGTACATGTGGGCGGCGCTGTTCACCAGCCAGGTGACGTTGAGCGAGACGGTGTAACGCAAGATGGATGCTAGGAAGTAGGAGTTCCACAGCGTCTCACCCCAAAAGTACCACGGAACCACGGTGGGAACCAAGAAGCACATGATCAGGACTGAGGTCTTGTAGTACCTGGGATAAAATATAGTAGAAAGGGAGAGGAGAAGAGAGGGAAGAGAGAAGAGGAGAGGAGGGGTGATGAGAGGAGAAGCGAGGGAAGAGAGGAGAGAATAGGAAAGGAGAGGAGAGAATATCTTACAGCTCTTATACAGAGTAACTCATGATATCTGCATTCAACTTACAGTAAAACAAGTGCAGAGTTAGGGTGGTGTTGTGTTCTGGTCAATCACACAGGGCTACAGCTAGGGCTAAAGGTCAATGTGAAATGGGGCAGTGGACCCACCTTCTCTGGAACTGGACCACGGGGTCAGCCAAGAGGTCAGTGACGTCCAGCTTCTTTCCCTTCTCGATGACATCACGGTGTTTACGCACAAACAGCCAGCCAATGTGAGCGAAGAAAAAGCCTCGTGTTGCATTGTGGGGGTCTGCATCCGTCTCTGAGAACTTGTGGTGCACGCGGTGGTCTCTCGCCCACTCATATATGTCATTCTGGGGAAGAGAGGAGGAAAAAGATGTGTGAAAATGTGTGAAGTGAACATTTTTTACATAAAGAGGACATTCAGTTTCTGGTGGACATTCATGATTTATTAGTGAAGAGAGACATGACATCATCTACAGTTTGTTATTCTAGAAAAATCTCTCACAGTGCACCTGGGTAGTCATGACGATACCACTATTCTTTCTGTCCAGGACACTTCCCACTGCAGCCATTGTTTCCCTGCTTTAGAAACCAGTGGTGTAATATATTTCAGGTCCTGGGAGAAGACTGAGAGCACAATGGTAAGCCATTTAATTAGATTCATTAACCTGAAACTCAGATCAAATGAGGTCATGTGTTCCAGAGGGAAGAAATTCAGCTGATGTTTATAGCTGCCAGTTTGTCTGATGGGTCGGGTTTTGGTCCTTTTCTCATAGGTAATGCTGACATGATGCAACAGAGCACAGAGAGACTTTGGAAGAAATAGCTTTTGATTTGTAGAAGTACAGAAATTAAATGATTAATATTTACCAGTTTTTAAATGTATTTAAAAAACGCTGATGTATTTTATGTGTCTAAAAGGGTCGAAAGACCAGCGATACGATACTACATTAAAGTTGTACAGTGGGGAAAAAAAGTATTTAGTCAGCCACCAATTGTGCAAGTTTTCCCACTTAAAAAGATGAGAGAGGCCTGTAATTTTCATCATAGGTACACGTCAACTAAGACAGACAAATTGAGAAAACAAAATCCCGAAAATCACATTGTAGGATTTTTTATGATTTTATTTGCAAATTATGGTGGAAAATAAGTATTTGGTCACCTACAAACAAGCAAGATTTCTGGCTCTCACAGACCTGTAACTTCTTCTTTAAGAGGCTCCTCTGTCCTCCACTCATTACCTGTATTAATGGCACCTGTTTGAACTTGTTATCAGTATAAAAGACACCTGTCCACAACCTCAAACAGTCACACTCCAAACTCCACTATGGCCAAGAGCTGTCAAAGGACACCAGAAACAAAATTGTAGACCTGCACCAGGCTGGGAAGACTGAATCTGCAATAGGTAAGCAGCTTGGTTTGAAGAAATCAACTGTGGGAGCAATTATTTGGAAATGGAAGACATACAAGACCACTGATAATCTCCCTCGATCTGGGGCTCCACGCAAGATCTCACCCCGTGGGGTCAAAATGATCACAAGAACGGTGAGCAAAAATCCCAGAACCACACGGGGGGACCTAGTGAATGACCTGCAGAGAGCTGGGACCAAAGTAACAAAGCCTACCATCAGTAACACACTACGCCGCCAGGGACTCAAATCCTGCAGTGCCAGATGTGTCCCCCTGCTTAAGCCAGTACATGTCCAGGCCCGTCTGAAGTTTGCTAGAGTGCATTTGGATGATCCAGAAGAGGATTGGGAGAATGTCATATGGTCAGATGAAACCAAAATATAACTTTTTGGTAAAAACTCAACTCGTCGTGTTTGGAGGACAAAGAATGCTGAGTTGCATCCAAAGAACACCATACCTACTGTGAAGCATGGGGGTGGAAACATCATGCTTTGGGGCTGTTTTTCTGCAAAGGGACCAGGACGACTGATCCGTGTAAAGGAAAGAATGAATGGGGCCATGTATCGTGAGATTTTGAGTGAAAACCTCCTTCCATCAGCAAGGGCATTGAAGATGAAACGTGGCTGGGTCTTTCAGCATGACAATGATCCCAAACACACTGCCCGGGCAACGAAGGAGTGGCTTCGTAAGAAGCATTTCAAGGTCCTGGAGTGGCCTAGCCAGTCTCCAGATCTCAACCCCATAGAAAATCTTTGGAGGGAGTTGAAAGTCTGTGTTGCCCAGCGACAGCCCCAAAACATCACTGCTCTAGAAGAGATCTGCATGGAGGAATGGGCCAAAATACCAGCAACAGTGTGTGAAAACCTTGTGAAGACTTACAGAAAACGTTTGACCTGTGTCATTGCCAACAAAGGGTATATAACAAAGTATTGAGAAACGTTTGTTATTGACCAAATACTTATTTTCCACCATAATTTGCAAATAAATTCATTAAAAATCCTACAATGTGATTTTCTGGATTATTTTTTCTCAGTTTGTCTGTCATAGTTGACGTGTACCTATGATGAAAATTACAGGCCTCTCTCATCTTTTTAAGTGGGAGAACTTGCACAATTGGTGGCTGACTAAATACTTTTTTCCCCCACTGTATATTCATCCCTGTGCTTTATGGTTTACACAGGTTCTCTAATGAGTGACTCCCACCTGAAGTAATTAACAAATATATTCAGGGGATGTCAACAGCAGAGGGAGAGAGGAGCTAACCTGGAAGGCCATGGAGTTGGCAGCTGCGAGGAAGACTCTGAGAGGAAGCTTGGCCCTGTAGGAGCGGTGGCTCCACAGCCGATGGGCCCCTGCTGTCACCCCCAGGGCTGTAACGATGAAACACACGTAGGCTGCAACAGCACACCAGAAGACACAACAGAGTCATTAACAAACAACAATATATAGGTGAATACCAGCCTGTTACACACCTGGGCACTGTTGTGGAAATTCTGTTGTGGAGAGACAGTAGTTTCTTCAAACAATTAATCTTTATTTAATTATTGCAATAATGAAGCTGGTCAACCATACACTCTAAGCTGGAAGGCCGAGAGCTCAACAATATGGAGAATGCAGAGTCTTTATATAGCAATCTAGGAGCTGCGGAGACATGGTTGATTCCACTCCTCGCCGGGGCACCTGGGCTTCACAATCACTTTGTGTCAACCTTGTGGTCGAGTGCACCGGGTGTTGTTTACCCCACCCTGGCTTAGTTTCTCAGGAAGAGGATGCTTTAGAACAATAACGAGTCTGTTTCTGCTCCGTGAGCTATCTATGGTTGCCAGATCTTGGCCGTACGCGCAGAATGGCTGAAAGGAGGAGAGAGGAACCAACCCTGAGGCGGGGGAAGGTGTGAAACCATCTTGTCGTCTCACACCTTGCCTGTGTGCTCAGCAGTATGTCTCCTCTGTTCCTTTAAACAGAGAACTCTACTATTATTCAAGTTTCTAATAGCTGGTTACAAATGATTATATATGCATTTCTAATAAAGCAGGTAATCATATAATCTTCCCTCATAGCACACAACAGTGTCATCTTTAAAAAACACATTCCTCTCTTTTATTTAACATTCATCTATCTAGGTTAGTCTCAGTGAGATTAAATCTCTTTTGCAAGAGAGGCCTGGTCCAAGATAGCAGCAGGGCCAGCAGGTTAATAAATATTACAGGTGGATACCAGGCTGAGAGTTTATGCTAATCCAAATCTCTCTGTCTGGCACCCAGAGCGGCACGTCTTGCTCTTCATGGTAATCAGAGGGCTGATATAAATACTATGCCTGCCAGTCTCTCTTGGCTAAGAGTTGAGGAGAGACTGACTGCATCACTTCTTCTTTTTATAAGAAACATTCATGTGTTGAAAATCCCAAATTGTTTGCAGTCAACTTACACACAGCTCGGACACACACACTTACCCCACCAGACATGCCACCAGGGGTCTTTTCACAGACCCCAAATCTAGAACAAATTCAAGAAAGCGTACAGTATTATATAGAGCCATTATTGCATGGAACTCCGTTCCATCTCATATTGCTCAAATAAACAGCAAACCTGGTTTAAAAAAACAGATAAAGCAACACCTCACGGCACAACGCCTCTCCCCTATTTGACCTAGATAGTTTGTGTATGTATTGATTTGTAGGCTACGTGTGCCTTTTTTTAAAATTTATGTAGTTCTGTTCTTGAGCTGTCCTTGTCTATTAATGTTCTGTATTATGTCATGTTTCATGTTTTGTGTGGACCCCAGGAAGAGTAGCTGCTGCTTTTGCAACAGCTAATGGGGATCCTAAAAAAATACCCCAAAAATAGCAATACCAGTTCACAAAAAAAGGTGCTTTTGAATAATGAGGGCTCATAAACCGGAGGCTGTGCAGCTATAAATAGTATCCCCCCTGTTCAAACGATTAATGATTAGACTAATGAAAAGTGTTCCACTTGGAGAGCTGTGCTGTCTGATGTCTCGGTGGAATTGATTAGAAGAACAGTGCATCACTGTGATGACTGACTGGGGCATGGTAAACACCCACCCAGAGAGTGACACAGACACTGCTCCTACAGGGCAGGCCACACTGTGACTGGACATGGTCAAGCTTCAACGCATTCCAAGAAAATAAACAAATTACAGATTATGGTTATCCCTCAATTAATATCTTAACAGCTCAAAATGAGGATGTAGCTAATAATTATAACATGGTCATTTGGTAGAAGATAACAACTTGATTTTAAATTATTATTTTAAATTAGTTTGGGATATTACCTACCGTATATTCATGTTTTAGGTCATCAATACACTTCCTCACTTTATCGTTTAATCAGGTTTCATTTAGAAACCCTTATAAAACAAGATGCCCGCTGTTTCTGACATGGGGCGTACTTGATGCCACTACATTTTGAAGGCACAATCTGTTCAAGATGTTCAATTGTCATCTCAATTATCTCACTAAAAGCTCTCGCTGCCAAATATATATATATATATATATATATATATATATACACACACACTATAATAAATCTACATATTTGCTTACTTGAATTAAACACGTCTTATATGACAATACCTTTTCAGTTATGAAATCAGAGGAATTTCTGTCTCTAAAATAGCTGATCGTTACAGAGTAATTAGAGGGGTTACTCTGCTCTATAACATTGAGAAAAACACATTATGCCTTTTTTAGGGCAAATTAAATTCACAGGCGCAATAAGAGCAAATTAAATTCACAGGCGCAATAATAATCATTATTTATAGTGCTGGCATCTTCGTTTATTCATAAATATGTGTTAAACATAAATAGCATACTCTTTGGTAGTCGGGTAGGCTACATTTAACATGCATCTCATCACGTATTCAGTGGCACCTGCTTGCACCGAGGTAATTTCCAGAAGTTGCACAAGCACGCTATGAGTGGTAGCCTACACACAGCAAGTTATTTATCTCCGGCAGATAAGACTTACACCAGACCCAGGTAAGGGGCCTCGCTCTGGGGATAACAAGGATGGAATACACCGCTCCGATGTGCAGAAGGGCCATGAGGATAACGTTTCTCCAGACGATTCCCAGAGTCCGCCACCGGTCAGCCTTCTCATCTCCAGCCTGACACCGAGCTTCCATCGCCATCTCGCTCCAGTCCTCAGGTCCTATTGGCCCCTCGACTACAGTCTCCCCATCCTGAAGAACACCTGCGTCCGGAACACTCACCATCTCCACAGGCACAGAACAATGAGCAATGTGGGAATATGGTATATGATCAGTCCGACTAGGCTAAAACGAAGTTACCTCAGTGGAAAATATAAAGTCACATAAACGATGTAGCAAAAATGCATACATTTCCAGGTAAAAGCTCACACACACTGAATCTCTCGCCTTCCTCTGTCAGTGAGGATGAGGAAGTGCGCTGGGGGAGAGCTTTAAACCCATACTGTCGCGCGCACGGGAGCTGCAGTGGCGCAGCCAATAGCGTGCCGCAGCTAAGTTGTCCTGATGTAAGAACACGTGGAATCAGGACCAGCAGGGTGCAATGATGATGATCTAGGAAAATAACTTATCTTGGACAATTTAGCTTTTTACCCAAATGTTTTCAAGCGATTAAAGTAGGTGTTGTGTGAAAATATGTGGTTGAAAGGAGCCCATCTGTACAGTAGCCTAATGTATCATGATATAATATTGGATATCTGAGGAAAAAGATCAGACTGCACATGATTTGTGAAAGCATTATTATTATTTTTTTTACTGTTGTCTGATTTTACAAGATACATAGTTAAATCTAATGTACATACATATTAGGCCTAGTACATATGAGGGAGGGCAGGCAGAGATTGTTATAAAAGCTAATAGTGACTCTTTATTTTGTAAATACATAAGAATATTACAAATTCAAGATACTAAAAACTCTTTAGGTCAAGGCTGAAGATGGATCCATACAGTTAAGCCACATACGTCTCATTATCCGTTCTAACACACTCACATTGCATTCAGACACTGCATTAAGTATCAGGAGATTAGTTAACTGGCCAGTATTTGTAAACTGAAAGACAATTAGTCTATTAAAACATGACATCCAAGCTGTTTATGACAAACATTAATTAGTAACATCTCAAAGCAACTGATATTAAGCAAACAATGAAGCAGCATGTTTTAAATAAATACTATTTATTGAAAATATTGCATGTTGTCGATTTTAAAATGTCCCATTTGCAACATAAGTGTCTTTCTGTTCTTACCAACATAGAGACAAATAGACTGTTTAATCAACAGCCTAAATCATACTGAAGACTAGAACTGAGAAGAAAAAAATGGACGCTGTCGCGTGAAATTTATGATGGCATGACGACCATTATAAAAAGCTAGTTCCCTCGTTATTAAACCTGATATTAATAATACCCAATTAAAACAGTCTGACAATGAGCCCAGGCATATCTTAGCGTGCATTCCGCCTGTGTTTTAAAGTACAGTCTCTGGTTTCCGTGTTTTAAAGTACAGTCTCTGGTTAAAAGGGGAGCAGCCCCCATTGCACTCTGCTCTGTCTGAAAACCATGATTACACTGAAAATGAACAAGAAAATAAAACATTTTCTTTTCTAAAAACAACATAAAACATGATCCTCAAAACTGGGTTGTTTGGCTTTTTAACATATTATCCCAGTGACAACGATAAGACTGGCAATATCAATAAATCTTGGTCCTATGTCCCACATGTGTTTACTATACTGTAGTGATACTGGTGGCATAGCTTGTGTTTGAGTTGTAAAAGAGAAGGGGGAGGGGTCTCTGAGTCCAGAATGGGATGAAGAAGGATCGGACAGTGATGTCGTAAAATCTCACGATTCTACAGGAAGTATAATATCTGCACTGGGAGCCACATGGAACTCCCACTGAAATGAGCTGATTAAAAACACCTGGCTCCCTATGTCTACTTCCTGATCTCTGTTATGACATCATCTCTGACCAATTCTTCTCCATCTCACCTCAGACTGAGGAGTGGGCGAGGGTCTCTCCTCCTGCTCAGACCCCCAGCTTGTTGGCTTGTGTCAGCACCACCTTGAGCACAGGCATGAAGGCAGACGTCTCGCTGAAGTTGCTGCTGCTCACTATGTGTGTGTGGATGTTGAGGCTCTCCATGTAGGAACGAGACTCGATGCACTGCACCATGTTGTGCAGGCCCCCTACAATGGCTGGGGAGAGCTAGAGAGCAACAGAGAGCGAAAGTGTGAGAAAGAGAAATTGAGAGAGATTTGTGGTGTGAGTGTACGTCTCAAAATGATATGCAACATTCTAACATGGAATTTTGAATGGTAACAATGTAGAATTGTTCAAACTCACTGTCTGCTCTCGTAGCTTGTCGTAGAGGGCCTCAAGGCGTTTGTTGGCATCATCCAACTTCCTCTTGGTTTGCTGCGGGGAGAGAGAAATATGATGAGACGCATATCAACAGCCCTAAACTGAGGGAATGTTTGAAGAGGAAGTGTGAACAATTTTATACTGATGATAAAAACTTAAGGAAAAGTAGTTGTATATGACGATTTATGAACTTCGTAGCTAAACTGACTTGATAGAAACGCTGTACTCACAGGGTCTGTGGCAGCAGCCAAGCACTTCTGGATGAGGCCCTCAAAGGTGCTCTTCAGGATCAGGTGCTCCTCAGGGATGGGCTTCTTAGTGATCTTCTCAGCAGGGATGGACTGCAGCGGCTGGAAGGTTAGCACAATCTGAGTACATGGGTTTTAGACTAATTCTTAGGAATTGTTGTGGAGCTTTCTAAGTTGCAGTTGTACCAACTTACAATGTTAAGAGCTTTGAGGCCATTTAGCACTACTAGTAATTGAATCCACTAGCAATATGTTTCTCATCATTTCAATGAGGAATAGACCAATTTATATAGGAATAGACCAGTACATGTATGACATCTCCAATAGGGGCTCCAGGCGCTCCCTCCACACTTCCTCCACGTGTCTTGAGCATGCCAGGGTTCATGGGTGGGGGGGCCATCTGCTGCTGCTGCTGCATGCCCTGGTAGGGGGCCTGGTTCTGGGCCTGGCCTGGGGGCATGGAGGGGGGCTGCTGGGGGTCCCCGGCACCGAGGGGAGAAAAGATGGGGGCCGTGATGGGGGAAGGAGGGGTGTAGTTCTCTGGAACCTGGAACGGTGGAAAGAGCGTGTGAGTGTGTAATGTACACTGAACAAAAATATAAACGCAACATGTAAAGTGTTGGTCGCATGTTTCATGAGCTGAAATAAAAGATACCAGAAATGTTCCATATGCACAAAAAGCTTATTTCTCTCAAATTGTGCGCACAAATTTGTTTACATCCCTGCTAGTGAGGAATTTCTCCTTTGCCAAGATAATCCATCCCCCTGACAGGTGTGGCATATCAAGAAGCTGATTAAACAACATGATCATTACACAGGTGCACCTTATGCTGGGGACAATAAAAGGCCACTATAAAATGTGCAGTTTTGTTACACAACACAATGCCACAGATGTCTCAAGTTTTTAGGGAGCGTGCAATTGGCATGCGGACTGCAGGAATGTCCACCAGAGCTGTTGACAGATAATTGAATGTTAATTTCTCTACCATAAGCTGCCTCCAACCTCGTTTTAGAGAATTTGAGAGTACGTCCAACCGGCCTCACAACAGCAGACCATGTGTATGGCGTCATGTGGGCGAGCGGTTTGTGATGTCAACGTTGTGAACAGAGTGCCCCATGGTTGCGGTGGGGTTATGGTATGGGCAGGCAGGCATAAACTATGGACAATGAACACAATTGCATTTCATCGATGGCAATTTGAATTCACAAAAATACCGTGACGAGATCCTGAGCCCCATTGTGAGGCCCATTTTTTAAAAGGTATCTGTGACCAACAGATGCATATCTGTATTCCCAGTCATTTGAAATCCATAGATTAGGGCCTAATTTATTTATTTCAATTGACTGATTTCTTCATATGAACTGTAACTCAGCAAAATTTGAAAATTGTTGCGGTTATATTCTTGTTCAGTATATATATATATATATATATATATATATATATATATATATATATATATACATATATATATATATATATACATACAAAAAAAAAAAAAAAGTGTTTAGTCAGCCACCAATTGTGCAAGTTCTCCCACTTAAAAAGACGAGAGAGGCCTGTAATTTTCATCATAGGTAAGAGTCAACTATGACAGACAAATTGAGAAAAAAAAATCCAGAAAATCACATTGTAGGATTTTTAATGAATTTATTTGCAAATCATGGTGGAAAATAAGTATTTGGTCACCTACAAACAAGCAAGATTTCTGGCTCTCACAGACCTGTAACTTCTTCTTTAAGAGGCTCCTCTGTCCTCCACTCGTTACCTGTATTAATGGCACCTGTTTGAACTTGTTGTCAGTATAAAAGACACCTGTCCACAACCTCAAACAGTCACACTCCAAACTCCACTATGGCCAAGACCAAAGAGCTGTCAAAGGACACCAGAAACAAAATTGTAGACCTGCACCAGGCTGGGAAGACTGAATCTGCAATAGGTAAGCAGCTTGGTTTGAAGAAATGAACTGTGGGAGCAATTATTAGGAAATGGAAGACATACAAGACCACTGATAATCTCCCTCGATCTGGGGCTCCACGCAAGATCTCACCCCGTGGGGTCAAAATGATCACAAGAACGGTGAGCAAAAATCCCAGAACCACACGGGGGGACCCAGTGAATGACCTGCAGAGAGCTGGGACCAAAGTAACAAAGCCTACCATCAGTAACACACTACGCCGCCAGGGACTCAAATCCTGCAGTGCCAGACGTGTCCCCTTGCTTAAGCCAGTACATGTCCAGGCCCGTCTGAAGTTTGCTAGAGTGCATTTGGATGATCCAGAAGAGGATTGGGAGAATGTCATATGGTCAGATGAAACCAAAATATAACTTTTTGGTAAAAACTCAACTCGTCGTGTTTGGAGGACAAAGAATGCTGAGTTGCATCCAAAGAACACCATACCTACTGTGAAGCATGGGGGTGGAAACATCATGCTTTGGGGCTGTTTTTCTGCAAAGGGACCAGGACGACTGATCCGTGTAAAGGAAAGAATGAATGGGGCCATGTATCGTGAGATTTTGAGTGAAAACCTCCTTCCATCAGCAAGGGCATTGAAGATGAAACGTGGCTGGGTCTTTCAGCATGACAATGATCCCAAACACACCGCCCGGGCAACGAAGGAGTGGCTTCGTAAGAAGCATTTCAAGGTCCTGGAGTGGCCTAGCCAGTCTCCAGATCTCAACCCCATAGAAAATCTTTGGAGGGAGTTGAAAGTCCGTGTTGCCCAGCGACAGCCCCAAAACATCACTGCTCTAGAGGAGATCTGCATGGAGGAATAGGCCAAAATACCAGCAACAGTGTGTGAAAACCTTGTGAAGACTTACAGAAAACGTTTGACCTGTGTCATTGCCAACAAAGGGTATATAACAAAGTATTGAGAAACTTTTGTTATTGACCAAATACTTATTTTCCACCATAATTTGCAAATAAATTCATAAAAAATCCTACAATGTGATTTTCTGGATTTTTTTCTCTCAATTTGTCTGTCATAGTTGACGTGTACCTATGATGAAAATTACAGGCCTCTCTCATCTTCTCAGTGGGAGAACTTGCACAATTGGTGGCTGACTAAATACTTTTTTCCCCCCACTGTGTGTGTGTGTGTATATATATATATATATATATATATATATATACATACACACACACAGTGGGGAGAACAATTATTTGATACACTGCCGATTTTGCAGGGTTTCCTACTTACAAAGCATGTAGAGGTCTGTAATTTTTATCATAGGTACACTTCAACTGTGAGAGACAGAATCTAAAACAAAAATCCAGAAAATCACATTGTATGATTTTTAAGTAATTAATTTGCATTTTATTGCATGACATAAGTATTTGATACATCAGAAAAGCAGAACTTAATATTTGGTACAGAAACCTTTGTTTGCAATTACAGAGATCATACGTTTCCTGTAGGCCTTGACCAGGTTTGTACACACTGCAGCAGGGATTTTGGCCCACTCCTCCATACAGACCTTCTCCAGATCCTTCAGGTTTCGGGGCTGTCGCTGGGCAATACGGACTTTCAGCTCCCTCCAAAGATTTTCTATTGGGTTCAGGTCTGGAGACTGGCTAGGCCACTCCTTAGTTGCCCTGGCTGTGTGTTTCGGGTCATTGTCATGCTGGAAGACCCAGCCACGACCCATCTTCAATGCTCTTACGGAGGGAAGGAGGTTGTTGGCCAAGATCTTGCGATACATGGCCCCATCCATCCTCCCCTCAATACGGTGCAGTCGTCCTGTCCCCTTTGCAGAAAAGCATCCCCAAAGAATAATGTTTCAACCTCCATGCTTCACGGTTGGGATGGTGTTCTTGGGGTTGTACTCATCCTTCTTCTTCCTCCTAAACACGGCGAGTGGAGTTTAGACCAAAAAGCTCTATTTTTGTCTCATCAGACCCACATGACCTTCTCCCATTCCTCCTCTGGATCATCCAGATGGTCATTGACAAACTTCAGACGGGCCTGGACATGCGCTGGCTTGAGCATGGGGACCTTGAGTGCGCTGCAGGATTTTAATCCATGACGGCGTAGTGTGTTACTAATGGTTTTCTTTGAGACTGTGGTCCCAGCTCTCTTCAGGTCATTGACCAGGTCCTGCCGTGTAGTTCTGGGCTGATCCCTCACCTTCCTCATGATCATTGATGCCCCACGAGGTGAAATCTTGCATGGAGCCCCAGACCGAGGGTGATTGACCGTCATCTTGAACTTCTTCCATTTTCTAATAATTGCACCAACAGTTGTTGCCTTCTCACCAAGCTGCTTGCCTATTGTCCTGTAGCCCATCCCAGCCTTGTGAAGGTCTACAATTTTATCCCTGATGCCCTTACACAGCTCTCTGGTCTTGGCCATTGTGGAGAGGTTGGAGTCTGTTTGATTGAGTGTGTGGACAGGTGTCTTTTATACAGGTAACGAGTTCAAACAGGTGCAGTTAATACAGGTAATGAGTGGAGAACAGGAGGGCTTCTTAAAGAAAAACTAACAGGTCTGTGAGAGCCAGAATTCTTACTGGTTGGTAGGTGATCAAATACTTATGTCATGCAATAAAATGCAAATTAATTACTTACAAATCATACAATGTGATTTTCTGGATTTTTGTTTTAGATTCCGTCTCTCACAGTTGAAGTGTACCTATGATAAAAATTACAGACCTCTACATGCTTTGTAAGTAGGAAAACCTGCAAAATCGGCAGTGTATCAAATACTTGTTCTCCCCACTGTGTGTGTGTGTGTGTGTGTGTGTATATATATATATATATATATATACACACAATGTGTAATTGATCGTGTGATAGGTCTCACCTTCTTCTTCTTTGGCACTCTGCTCAGGGTAGGAGGGTCGTTCCAGCCATTCTGAGGGCCTGTTGACAATCAGAGAGAAACCCATCACTCACCCGTCTCTTCACTACAGCCTGGGTGCCACTGTCTCTGCACTCACACATGCTACATTGTTAGCTAGCCTTGCTAACTCTAGCTGGGCAAGAGAAACAACCACAGTTAGACTGGCACCTAGGCTAATCACAGCACAACACCGGAATGACTCTGGTACAGATAATGGGCCTTTAAAGAGTTGTTTTTCATAAGCTGGTATTGGGATATTGAATATTTTGTATGATGATTCCTGGGCAGCATGGCTATAAGCAAAAATATTATCAATGCTTTGATTGCTCTGATTTGTAATTACTTAAAGCAGCTAGCTATACATATTTCATAGTGCATCAGCAAGACAACGAGCAAAGCGTATTTTTTTGTCATTTAGCAGACACTCTTATCCAGAGCGACTTACAGGAGCAATTAGGGTTATGTGCCTTGCTCAAGGGCACATCAACAGATTTTTCACCTAGTCTGCTCGGGGATTCGGACCAGCAACCTTTCGGTTACTGGCCCAATGCTCTTAACCGCTAATTTTCTTGCCATTTCAGCAAATGACCAAAACAGGTCTTTCAGGCTAAATGTAATGGTATTAGAGTGCAGCGTAGCCTGCGCTGACCCCTAAATATAGTCATAATCACCATGATCCCCCTGCCTGCCATTTTCATCAGGGTATTGCCTGCCCTAGATAGCCAAGCAAAGCTCTGAACCAGACCAATCTGACTAACTTACCAACCCATTCATTCCCGCTTACGCTCCTGCCCAGACCACCATCCATCTGGGTCAACCAACTGACACTCATACCCATGTTTACCTTTCTATCAACAGCAACATGGCAGTTATGATTATGTCCTTGGTACTTCAGGTCTATGAAAAAGCTGATTATGTGATAGCAAATGTTTAAAAATTGGCTGGTTTTAAAATTGATTGAACATTCACCTGTAAACAGAAGTGGCAATGCAACTACCACATTGTTGATCATCAGGGATATTGGCGAGCGCTTTTGATTGGCGAGTGATTAAATTGATTTGTATGACCTGGTCAGGCCGGTGGCGGCCATTTACAGGTAGTAATTGTGTAAAGTAGCAGAGCAGAGCTGTTTGTTTCAATTCACCTTCACCTTCCATGAAACAGGTAGTGTCTGGACTATATCCCTCTGTGGATGAAACAAATACACTCTAGAACACTTCCCAGAGCCAACAGGGCAGATGTGAGAGAAAACAGTAATATATATGCTAATGACAATGATAGCTAGGGAACGAATAATAGCATACTCAAAATGTGTTGTTAGTGAGTGTTACTGTACCTGTAAATGTTTACACCTAATAAAGTCCGCATTTAATTGAACAATGTGGTAATGCTAATACCATCTAACAACCCTCTCACACTTCGGTTTCCCCAAAAGACCAGGCAGGGCTCTGTTAATAAGTAACCACCATATTTCAGAGTAGTAACAGTGTCTCAGCTGAGAAATGCTACCTCAGCTTTCCCCACCCAAGGAGAGAAGTGTGAGAGAGGCTTGGAACAACAGCTGCTGTTGACTGTCTGAAGGCCGTCTCTGCTTGGCTGCACTGGGCTCACTAAGCAGATAGATAGCACACACTGACTCCTGGCTCCGCTATGACCTTACAGTTGGACACCGTCTAAACAGCTGCTTTCAGTCACTTACTCCATTAAGACCAGTTCCATAACCACCATTAGCATCCTATGCTGGTCTCTGACGCTACACATGACATTCCCTATCCACATTTGGCCGGCCATTCAAACAGAACTATGGCTATGTTCCAATATCCACACTAGCATGCCACTTTAGAATACAGGTCCAATACACTGCTTCTTTCTGAGGGGTATTGTAGTGTGGATGCTGGAACAGATCCAGTGACACCTCTGAGTACTGTCATGTAGATGATTGGCGGGTGGAGAGAGGGACGAAACCAGTGCAGACCTGTTCTCTGAGAGGCCGGATCAGGCTGTGTACCTGAGGATCCGGTCGGTGGAAGCGGCGGCATGTAAGAGGCAGGCGACCCCGGTCCACCATGTTGGAAAGATGCTCCAGACGACAGTGGAGGAGGAGAGAAAGGAGGATGAGAAGGAGCGGAGGACACAGGCTGGCCCATGGAAGGAGGTGGGTAGAGGGGTTGTTGAGTGTATTGGGGCATGAAGCCTGGAGCTGGGGCTTGGGGTGAGGAGGAAGAGAAGGAGGGAGGAGGAGGAGTAGAGTACTGGAGAGGTGAATAGATAGCTGGGCCACCAGTGCCAGGGTTGTACTGGCTGGCCGGAGGGTAGGCTAGGGTTCACAGGAGAGAGAACAGCATGCATTAGTCACGTAGTTACGTTAAAGACTAACTTTAACAGTGCTCACTGTGGTTCTTTAACAGTAGTAACATGCATTATAATTTCTAGCAGTTCAGGAAATGTTAAATGGAAGCATTTTCTCTGTTAATAATTACAATATGGTAACATTACAGAAAAATGCTTCAACTTAGTTAGACCTTCATTCAAAAGCATGTAGATGTTTATAGATAGACTATCAGGCATGAAATGTGTTTTTCAGAATGGGACATCATGCAGAGAGATAGTTAACAGCCTAACATGCTAATTCTCAATTAAGGGCGATATTTCAGGTTTAGAAACATCGCCATAGAAGGCTCAAGGCTGAGCTAATTAGCAAAGAACATTCAAAAGAGAGAACACTAGGCAAACATTCTCCACCAGAAAATGCTTGATGGTTTAAATTGAGAAAACGGGGCATCGAAGTCAGACTAACTGTATATAGAATACCCAAGGCCAGCACCTGTATGTGCGAAGCCATGATTAGCTCGACGCTACTCAGTGTATACTCCAAACCTGTTGGTGGCAGCAGACCCACACTTATAGGTGTTCAGGCTGCCATTTTCCTTCTACACGAAGAAGAGTCCCTATAACCTGGAAGTGGTAGTGATGTTTGAGACACTTACGCTGGTACTGATGTGAGTACATGGGGGGGTATGCAGCGGCCGAGGAGTCTGGGGGGGCAGCCGACCCAGTGGGAGGCATCCCATACATGGGGGGTGTCGGCTGAGCCTGCAAAGACAGGACAGACACAAAAGATGACGTCACAGACTCAGGGGCTGCATTCCAACTGGCAGCCTAATCCCTATATATTGCACTATTTTTTAACAGAGCCTTATTCCCTAGCCTATAAAGTGCACTATATAAGGAATAAGCTTCCATTTGGGAAGCAGCCTGGCTCATAACCACGACTAGGGCTGGGTTTCATTCCAGAGAGATCTTCCCTCTCCTCTGGTCTTGTTCACTCCCCTTCACGGATCTTAAAGTAACTGCCCAGTAATAATCTCACTTTTAAAAGTTAATATTATGTTAACTCATATCCAAATAATGTTGTTTACTCGTATTTGTGGCCAAAGCATAAATTGGAGGAAAAAAACACTTCAAAAACCCCACCTCAAAACACTGGGCAGTTATATTTAAGACAACTAGATAGAAGTACAAAATAGTGTAACACAAGAGCTGTGAGTGAATCAGAGACAAGAGACAAACAGGATATGGACTAAAGAAACAGACAGACATGAAGCAGTGCTTCTTAATCCTGGTCCTGGGGACCCAAAGGGATGCACTTAATTGTTTTGCCTTTGCATTACACACCTAATTTAAATAAATAAAGCTTGATGAGTTGATCATTTGAATTAACTGTGTAGTACTAGGGCAAAAAACACAAATGTGCACCCCTTTGGGTCTCCAGGAACAGAATTAAGAAACACCGTCTTAGAAGGTCAGAGGTTGGATCAGGTGCTCCACACAGACATGCATGACAAACCATAAATGCATCCAGGGTGGGTTGGGGTATCAACAGGGTGACATGCATACTACAGCATCCACAGTAAGTGACCAGCTGGTGTGGGGACCATGGGAACAGGGGGTCGGAGATTTGCCTTCCAACAGATGGCGTCATTCTGACGCGACACGTGTTGCAAGGAGCAGTGTAGAAGACCGTCGCGCTATCTGACGTACGACAACGGGGGTTGGAGCTGTGACTGTGGAGGTAAAGGGTCAGGTAGAGAGACAGACCAGGATCATGCGGTAGTGGTGGTGGTGTTGGGGTCGGTCAGTGACCCTGAGGTAGGTGGTCAGAGGTGAGAGGTCAGGGGTACATGGCTGTGACCCAGTGCTTGGTATGCGTGCTAAGTCTAAATCGTACCACAATAGCAAGAGGAGCGCTTGCAAAAGAAGAGAGTAGTAACGTATTGATCCCATAGTAGAACCACAGCATGTCAAAAAAAAAAACGTAGTAATGAGACCATTGAAAAACAATTCATTGGTTTAATCAGTGTCAATCCCATTTGAATCAATGTAATTAATAAATTCATTGTCATCCAGCCAAACCAAATGGGACTACAGTCAACCAGAGAAAAGATCAAAGCCATCAAAGAGACATATAAACATCCAGGGAAAAGACTTGGGGAGGAAAGCTACCGGCACTAATAATTATAGCAGGTAGTTACCGTCAAAGAAAGCAGGGCAAATATTTGAACAACAACATTTGTTACGTAGAGATCTGTGTTTATTTCGCTGCTAGAATTAAGAGTTAGATTTCAGAGTTAGTCAAGATTGAGGACTATTGAACACAAGCCCAAAAAGCTGAAGCAAAGTTGCTGGTGTGGTACAGGTGTGTTTGGTCACAGCCATGGTGAGGACTAGTGTGTGTGTACCTGGGGCTCTGTGGTGGCAGGGCCTAGATGAGGAGGAGGAGGGACACTGGGGAGAGCTGTGGGAGTTTGGTTACTCCAGGAGGTCACTGTAGAGGCAGACCTCACCTGGAGAACACACACATACACACACACCGCATGGTACACACACCAATGATGACCACACAATGGAGGAGCCACAGCTCAACACCATCAGAGTCACCGGCCACACAACATGTAGAAACAAGACCAAAGGGCACCCAAGACTGTGCTGACAATGTTAGCATTAAGAGAGAGGATCAAACATTTATGGGCTAATGATGAGGCTATGTGAGTGACTGTCACCGTCACTTACCGGCTGATAATACTGTTGTGGTGCAGGGGCAGCGGCAGGCACAGGGGCTGGTGCGGGCTGCTGGGACACCATAGAAGGCTGGGCAGGGGCGAAGAGCTGCCTGGGCTGGGGGGATGGGAGTTGGGGCTGGACCTGGGCTACTGGGGTTAGGGCTGGACCTGCAGCAGGAGCCTGTTGGCCCAGAGCTCTGCTGAGACGGTCACGCAGCTGCAGTACTGCAACCTGGCGGTAGAGCAAATACCGTACAATTAGAATCAGTAGAATGGACGTTACATTCCGGTTCTAAACAAGTAAACCCGAGGCAGATTGTGGGGCAAATGTATTGTGTAGTATCATTGACCTGCTCTGTGTTCTGTGGCAGGTATGCGATGGCGGTGGTGAGGCTGCCCTGGGAGGCCAGCAGGCTGGCATACTGACTCATCTTCTCGCCCAGTAGAAGCCCCACAGCAGAGGGACCAGACTCCTGGGTCTGCTCTACCGCCCTGCGGAGCACCACCACCTTCTCTACCAGGTCCTGCCGGAATATAAACATTACATAGAGTTAGACCTACGCACACACAACCATGTCTAGAGAGACAAAGGCAGTCGCACACAAAACGGACATACACATTACACACACACCCGCGTACCTGCAGAGAGAGAGGGCAGTGTCTGTCCTGGGCTCTGGTCCAGCAGGACACCAGTTTCTCCACGTTGCCAGCGCAGATGTAACACAGACAAGCCTGAGCCTGCAGCGTGCTGTCCTCCATGGCCTCCAGTCTGCAGCCCAGCAGGTCTACAGAGACAGCAGCACAGTTAGGTTCAAATTCACATCCCAACTGGTTCGCGCGGCAGAAATGGAAAGAGAAACATTGAAAGAAAGGCCAGTGAGGGAGAGAGTGAAAGGGCAAGAGAGAAAGCGAGAGCGTAAAAGGCCTTGCATGGTCAACATCTGCAGAAGCCATACAGCATTTATTGTGATACAGCCTCTGCAGAAGTCAGGACATTCATGCTTCTTGCGCTTCCCGGAGCAGAGCTGTTGTGAAGGAAGTTGTCAAGGAAGTGAGCTTGTGTTTATACAGGACCTCCCGCCCCCACCTGCCGTCAACCAATAATGTCAATGCGGAGCTATATGGAGCCCTCTGCATTGTTAAAAAATGTGGGAGGTATACAGCGATGCGGTACAGAGCTCTATTTGGCCTCCGGATCGCATTTTCAGAGTTAGCATAAATTGGCTTTAAGGGAGAGAGTGTGAAAGAGAGAAGGAGAAAGAGGGACAGAGAGAGAGAGAGAGAGTGTCAGTTCCTACCACACAGAGAGGAGAACTCCTCAGGCTGAGCGTAGGTCATGACTGCAGCCAGAGCCTCCTTCCAGTTCTGCAGCTCACAGGTCTGCAGCACATCACGCCAGTCCCTCATCACCACTGCACTGATCAGCTGTTAATCAAAAACCAATCCTCAATATGACAATCTGTCATCAGCACTGTAGACCTCCCTCTGATCAGCTGCAAGAATCAATATGACCATAACCAATACTGTACATGTCCCTCTGCCAGTTCCTCAACCCCACCACACTGATCAGCTGCAGGAGGATGCATTGACAGTAAATCAGTAGTAGAACAGTAGCCAACACAGGAATACTGGTAGCCAACAATACCTGATCACATGACCATGACACTGACTGACATCATGGTCATGGTGTTCGTTACCTTGGTGATCTTCAAATCAAATCAAATTTTATTGGCCACATGCGCCGAATACAACAGGTGTAGACATTACAGTGAAATGCTTACTTACAGCCCTTAACCAACAGTGCATTTATTTTTAATGAAAAAGTAAAATAAAACAACAAAAAAGTGTTGAGAAAAAAGAGCAGAAGTAAAATAAAATAACAGTAGGGAGGCTATATATTCACAGGGGGGTACCGCTGCAGAGTCAATGTGCGGGGGCACCGGCTAGTCGAGATAATTGAGGTAATATGTACATGTGGGTAGAGTTAAAGTGACTATGCATAAATAATAGACAGAGTAGCAGCAGCGTAAAAAGATGGGGTGTGGGGTGGGGGGGCAGTGCAAATAGTCCGGATAGCCATGATTAGCTGTTCAGGAGTCTTATGGCTTGGGGGTAGAAGCTGTTGAGAAGTCTTTTGGACCAGTGTTTTTAGTGTGTTTGTTGCCTTGATGAACTTACAGTGACCAGTGTTGGTTACCTTGGTGATCTTGCTGTGAGTCTTGGTGAAGTACTTCCTCTGTGTTTTCTCCAGAAGCTCCGCCCCTCCGGCGATGGCCAGGATGATGCTGTCGGCCATGCGGTTGTCATGGAGACAGAGTTCCACTGCGCCCTCGAAGTCCCCGGTCAGCAGGGCCTGGGTGATCAGGCCGTCCACGCCTGACAGGACAAACCAACACACAACTGTTTGCTTTTTAAACTTCAACAAACAGCAGCACACAGTCAACCTAAACTGTGAACAATTACAAATAGAGATTCAGATTGATATTAACTGATCTTTACCTTGACTGACACAGAGTTTAACGCCCTCGGGGACTGGAGCTGGGGCCTCCTCTGGGAGGCTGTCCTCTTCTTCGACTGGTGGAGCCACCTCCTGACAGACCAGAGGGAGTTTATCAATGTTATTTGACCGAGAGCAGTACCTTCACTGGAGTATGAGCACAACTCCAACTACTGTGTAAATCATCTGTTGATGCTTTGATGTCAATGGGAAATGTACTCGAAAGCACAACGACTCAAAACAATAGTTATTCCATACCACTATACCATCTACTCTCACGGAGACCTTTACATATAACCATAAAACAGCAAAGTAAAACAAAAAAACTGGTGTGAGTCTACCCCAGAGAGAAAGTGAAGTTGAAGGAAAATAGGGAGATAAAAATTGGGTGAGTTATTTAGAGTTATAGATGAGACACTATGTGAAAGCAATGTTACAACATAACCGTAGCAATATAATAACATAGTAATACTAATGTAATAGGTTTATAGTTTAGCGATGAACAACGATAACAACAATGGCGTAACAGCACGATGTGTCTTTCTCTGGGATGGACTGACGGGATGAGAAGAGGGTACCTCCTCCAGAGGAATCTCTTCATCTACTGGCATCTCTTCCTGGGCGATGGGCTCAGCTTCAGGGGCCTCAGCCTCTGTCAGGTCTACTTCTGCTGCCACTGGTTCCAGAGCTCCTGTCACTTCCAGTTCCGCTGCTTGCTGGAGGTTTGCAGCGGCGATGAGGTCAAATGGATCTTCCGCTTCTGGTTCCGGAGCAGGTGTGAGTTCCGGTTCCGCTGCTTGCTGGAGATTTGTAGCGGCGATGAGGTCAAATGGATCTTCCGCTTCTGGTTCCGGAGCAGGTGTGAGTTCCGGTTCCGCTGCTTGCTGGAGATTTGTAGCGGCGATGAGGTCAAATGGATCTTCCGCTTCTGGTTCCGGAGCAGGTGTGAGTTCCAGTTCCGCTGCTTGCTGGAGATTTGTAGCAGCGATGAGGTCAAATGCGTCTTCAGGTGGGAGGTCCGTGGAGAGGAGTCCAGGGTCTGCTAGAGGTTGCAGGGTGGGGACAGGAGGAGGAACCAAGTCCAGCTGGGCTGCCGGCTGCAGACTGGGCATCGATGACATTGGGTCGAAGCCGGGTACTGGCTGCAGGTTGGTGAGGTCGGATACAGGCTGTAAGTCCACCTGGTTGAACGCAGAAACAGGCTGTAAGTCAACTTGGTTGAACTGAGATACAGGCTGCAAGGCCACCAGGTCAAATTCTAATACATGCTGCAAAGCTACCTGATCAAATTCAGATACAGGCAGTGAGTTCACTTGGTTGAACTCTGTCGGAGGCTGGAGGGTAAAGGAGGCAGTGGGATCAAACACGGGTACTTGCTGCAGGTCAGCTGGAGGGGCCAGAGCTGGGTCAGACTCTGGCAGGAGAGCAATGGGAGCAACAGGGGCAAGAAGCTGGGGTTCTGCGCTGAGGTCAAGAGTAGGGACAGGCTCCGATTGGAGGACAGGCATAGGATCAGAAGGTGAAAGGTCACGGCTGAGCGGGGGGGCAAGCTCTGGCTGGGGTCCGGGTTCGGGCTGGAGGGCGGGCTCAAGCGGAGGTTCGGGGGTGGCCTCAACAGCCGCCTCAGGCATGGGAGGAAGGACCTCAGGCTCAGCGCTGAGCTGCGGAGCGGGAATGGGCACTACCTCTGGTCCAGGTTCAGCCTCGAGTTCAGGATCAGAGGTGGGGACAGGAGCAGGGGCGGGCTGCATACATTCATACAGCAGGAGAGGAAAGGTGTAGGAGAGGAGTAGGATTGGAGAGGAGAGCCAGATTCACACAGAGTTCAGCAGAGAGAGCCATTAAATTGAGAGTCGTAGATAAATAATCAACAGAATCACTGACATGTTGGAAACCCAACAATATTCATAAAATGTCATTGATTGTGTCCATTGAGATATTAGTACCGTTATCTTTGAGCCCGGGTTAAGCAATGTCAGAATCACAAAATATGCTTTAAATTTTAGCAGATGAGAAAATAGCAGATGAGAAAATAGCATTGTCTTGCAGATAAGAAAATATAAGGTACAATTGAAATATGTGATGTGAAATTCACCAAATTATATTCAATGATGATCTATGACAAAAGTCAGGAAAGCAATTCAACGATTTTCAGTTGTCCTAACTTGAAAGGCCAAGGGCATGAATAAGAAGCAACACTTTTCTTACTTCCTTCTAGTAGTCACATAAACAACTCTAGTGTGAAACCTAGATAGTTAGTCAAGTTGGACAGTTTCCCAATGCCCCTACCACTTCCCTGTTTGAGCAATGAGACCAACGCTAAAGAAAGTGAATGAGCAGATACATTTGCTCTGCATTACCATTAGCAGCAGTACCATCTACTTTACCGCACACTGAACCGTATTCCATGTTGTTTATCATGATATCACAAATAATTAAATATATGTTTCTTCCACACATACAAAAGTCCTTACCTCCTCGGGCTGAATAGGTTCTCCCTCTAATGCTGCTGCAATCTGTGAACAAAGGAACAACCCCAGCAGAATTAAACCAGGCTGACAGACAGCATTAGGACCAGACAGGTCAGACAGACAACAACAGACCGACAAGGCCTGAGGACATTCAGTGACAGTTCATTTCCAACCTCACCTTTGCTGCTAGCTCCTCCTTCTTGTATCCCAAAAGCTCCAGGTATTTTCCACGAGTGTCATTCTCAAAGTTCACCTGAAAACAATTTAACATTGGTAGTAACAGCCCAGCCATACTGTGAAATACAGCAAGAAACAAAACGTATGTTTTAACAATAGAAGTCAAAGTTCCTATCCCTACTTTCAGGAAGGACCAGACGGTCTTCTCAAACTCATTCTGGGCAGAGTCTATCTTCTCTTGGCAGAAGTCAATGAAGCTGCCTGCAGCCAGCGTGTCCTGCAGCTGGGCCGAGCGCTCCAGGAAGGTCGTCTCCGTGATCACCTGACTAATGTGAACCACATGGGCCGTGGGCTGTTGAGGCTGCTGGGGGTTGGGCTTGATGTTCTCCAACGACACCAGCTTACCACCAAACTGGAGGGGGGGGGGGGAAACAGGAAGAGAACAACTTATTAGTACAATTTCAACATCTCAATAGAATTTCTATAGAGGTGAGAGAAAGAGGAAGCAGCAGGAGGAGATGATACTGCTGAGTGACATACTGTACATTATGCATCCATGCATACGACTTGAAAAACATTGCAAAGTAATGAAGGCAGAGAAGATAGTGACTCACAGCGAAGGAGGCCCCCACGGGCCTGCGGATCCACTTGGGAGGCTTCTTGAGGGGAGTGATGGTGGTGTGGGCAGCCGGGGCCTTGGGAAGCTGCAGGGGGGGCAGGGTCTGTCCCATCCCAAACGGATCCATGTTGCCAAACGACGTGCTGATCTAGAACATAGACATGCCAAAGAGCAGCAAATTTAACAATGTTTTATTTTTTTTACAGATTAGGTATTCATTCATATCAAGTGTCTCCAATGATGGGCCAAAATTGAAGCGAGTTTCCACTCTAAATCTCAGAATTTGAGCAAACCGTGTCTGTAACCCTAACCAACATGGAGGCCAGTTTCCAACCTAAACAGTGTTCATGTGTGAAACTGTTACCCACCGTGTCTGCCTGTGTCTGGCTGAAAGCCTGGCTGCTGCCCCCCATGATGGAGTAGATGCTGATGTGTCCGTCGAAGGCTGCAGCCGACAGCACCGCGGGGTTCCTGGGGCACCACTGGATGTCAAAGCACCACTGGGTACTGGTAGGCAGCTCATACAGCACCTGGAGATAAACAACAGACAGGAATGGAGTTACATTTGTGGTTAAATAAAGGTGTGTATGTCTACTTTGCAGTTAGGGACCATGCTACGAATAGCACAGAAACAACGGATCACACACTCTCACCTCGGCGGTGTTGGGGTTCCAACAGAGGATTCTGTTGTCCTTCCCACAGCTCAGTAGCAGCTCAGGGTCAGCTAGACTCCAGGCGATGGCCAGGACACCCCTGATGAACACACCACCCCGATTTAATTAGCATAATTTAATCTGATCACATTCGATCTACTGAACACTTGCCATTAGTTCTGACAAGTCTTGGGTGTGCCATTCTTTTGTTAGCGGTCACACCAGATTAGCGTGTTCTGATCACCCCTATCTCCCAGACACCTCTTGCAAGCAAGGACAAATTCATACTGCAGCCACATTGCTGGGTGATTGTCTCACAAAGGTCAGCCTCAATGTGTTGTTTTTGGCTCCATTATTCCATGCAATACAAAAGTTTGGACCAGGACTGTCAGTGTTATTTTTTTTTAAAATTATTATTATTTTTTACCCCCTTTTTCTTCCCAATTTCGGGATTACGATCTTGTCTCATTGCTGCAACTCCCCAACGGGCTCGGGAGAGGTGAAGGTGGAGTCATGCGTCCTCCGAAACATGACCCGCAAAGCCGCGCTTCTTAACACCTGCTCTCTTAACCTGGAAGCCAGCTGCACCAATGTGTTGGAGGAAACACCGTTCAACTGACGACTGAGGTCAGCCTGCAGGCACCCGGCCCGACACAAGGAGTACCTTGAGTGTGATGAGCCAAGTAAAGCCCCCCCGGCCAAACACTCCCCTAACCCGAACGATGCTGGGCCAATTGTGTGCCGCCCTTTGGGACTCCCAGTCATGGCCGGTTGTGACACAGCCTGGGATCGAACCCCAGGCTGTAGTGACGCCACAACACTGCAATGCAGTGCCTTAGACTGCTGCGCCACTCGAGAGGCCAGCCAGTTAGTGTTTTAACATTACTTTCTCCAAGACTGGATACCAGATTAATGTGAAGTCATAATTTACCGTGTGTGGTTCTCCAGGACTTTGAGAGGGGAGGTGGCGAAACGCAGGTCCCAGATCTGGATCACTGGCATTCTGTCATCCTCCGAGGCCAGCACCAGCTGAGTAGCTACCTCCGGGTTCCACTCTAGCCCAGAGCAGTGCATCTGAACACACACACACACACACACACACGTACCTATTAATTTACTCTTATAATGAATGCGTGGTTCTCTCTCCGCCCATCTGTCACATGGTGTTAATACTAGGTTTGTACCAAGGGTTGGAATTGGTTTAGGGAACAGAACAGAAAACCAGAAACGAATTAAATGATTTGAGGAACAGAACCCAAACTAAAGTGATCTATACTGTTCCGGAACAGAACTGTTAATAAAAGCAACGTTCTGTCCCACTATGCAAAGCCCTCACTCTGTCACTCAGAAATGTATTCCAGTATCTGCCTGCCAGCTGGAAATCTTTGCCAGTGGGTGTGTGTGTAGGCTACCTGCCCCTCCCCTCTGAAGCACAGCTGTAGCTTACCGACGACATTATAAATTAGGAAGATATGTTTAATTAGAGAAGAATGGATTTACTTTTTCCAATGCTAGTTAAGGATACTACAGTTATCACATTTCACACTGGATTTATTAACTACAAAAAGGTAAGACACGTTTTTAATTCTAGTGCTGCTCCGCACACACAAGCTTGTTAGCTAACGTTTGCTCTGGTCCAACATTAAACCAACTCGGAAGTTCAAAGACATTCAAAGTTCCTCCATAGAAGCCTCTCCTCCGTAGGTATAATTCTGTGGGCCTGATTCAGATAATACATGTCATAAGATACCCAGCGCTTCAAGGCAAGCTTCCTCCATCCTCTCTCCTCAAACTGTCTGTTGCATCTTGCGCCCTACACTGTGACTGGCAGCACAGTATGCGGTTGTCTTTCATTATGATTCAACCATGCGGTTACGGCAAAATACAATTTGCTCTTAACGACTTTCCTATACAGATTAAATTGCTTACCCGCTCCACAGCAAGCTGCTCTATCCGCACTGATTGGTGAAGTAATTTAAATGTCGAGCTAAATGTAAAATATATATATTTCAGAGGTTTAAAAAGGAACAATATAAACCGGTACTTTATTTTGCTTGTCAGAACAGTGGAACGAAATGAAAAAAAATGATGTCAAAAGCCTCAGACCTATACGGTTGCCAATCCTGTCTGTCTGTCCCCAAAAAAAAAAAATCTTCCCACCCCCACAGTTTATAGAAAGCTGCAGGCCAGGGAGAGTACTTTTAAACTGGAGATGAAAGTGACAGACTGAGGCTTTAACAGCCGACAGATAGACACGGACAAACGCGTGTTGCTGGGTACATTGTTGCTGGGTTCACAAGTGGCAGACTGAGCCGTAAACAGCAGACGTGCATTACGGTACGTACCCTGTTGCTGTGGTCGCTGACTTTGATGATTAGGTCGTTCTTGCGGAGGTCCCAAATGGAGGCGCGGCCGCTGGGGCTGGCCGAGGCCAGGATGTGTTGGACCTGTCTGTTCCACGCCACACAGCTGATGTCCTCCAGAGGCTGAAATAAACAAACAGCCTGCTCACTCAAATGTTCCTCTACTATTAAAATACCTGGGTGCAGGATCCTTGCAGACTAGATCATCCATGAAAATGTTTAAGTAAAGCACTCCAAAAGTTTCAATCGTTTCTTAATTAACCGTGCAGAGACATGTTCTAGTGTCATGGGTCTTACCTGAGTTTTAGGGCCTGGTGTCATCGGGGAGCCAAAGTTGTTCAGGTCCCAGATGTAGATCTCTGATTCATTACCTCCTGAAGCCACCAGGTTGGTCTGGGGAAGGGGAGAGGGAAGTAATGCATTATTATCACTAGCTAACATGGGGTGACAATGTAAGCACAATAACAAACACAATGAGATACACTTGACAAAGTTGGTAGACCAGTCTACAAAAGGTCAGTAGATGAAAACGTTAGTATTCCTATTAAACAAAAGTAAGAAGTTCAAGTGAGTTGAGCAATATCTGAATGTGCATATTATGCACAGAACAGTATAAAGCCAAAGCTGTTAGTGAAAGCATAGTTAGTTAGTTAGGTGTACCTACCTGGAAGGAGTTGACATCAAGGGCTCTGACTGGCCCGCTGTGTTTGTCACTCTGAGCGATGACAACGTCACTGTGTCCAGCAATGATCTTGGCCGGGTCGTACAGGATGACGTCACCATTCTCTCCCCCCGCGATGAGCACTCCAGATGGGAGACCCTGTGCATCCATGCCATGGGGACCCCACGCCAGCTTGTGGTATCTGGTGAAGAGAGATAAGAGCAGTCGGATCTATGACATATGTTTTCTAAACCTAGCAAAGAGTTGACTTGCTCTGATGCTTATTGTTGTACCCATGTTGGAACTTGTATTGCACCATTCTTTGTTGATTGATTATACTTGTTTTGTTCCAGTGACCTGAGTTTTAATCACTACAGTTTTCACAACTATTATTCCCTAACTGGGTTTACCCTACTACTTGAGATATCTGAAGAAATATAATTTACAAAGAATCCTGTTGAAAGAAAACTTCCTCTGATTGGGTTAGGGTTAAGGCTAAGGTTTCCCTACCTGTGAGAGGAGGAGTATGCTCCGCGGAGCTTCATGTCCAGAGAAGGGTCGGCCAGGTCCAGCTCAAAGATCTCCAGAGAGGCGGTGGTACTGAAGGAGGCATCCAACTGCTGGGCTGACGTACCTGGACTCAGAGACAGACAGGTGAGGGGTCAGCAATACCTGACCAGGTAGACGCACTAACTGGACAGCTGTTCAGACAACAAATATTCAACCCTTAACAAGGGCACCAAGACCAGTGGAAGAAAAACAGCCCATAACATCAAAGACCCACCACCATATTTGACAGTAGGGATGAAGTATTTTCTGCATTAGCGTCGTTCTTTCGAAGGCCAAACCCACAGCTGGTGTGCGATGCGAAAGACCTCTATTTTCGTATGACTATAGCACCGGTTCCAATCCAAGTGCCTTTAGCAAACTCCAGGCGGTGGTCAGATGACATGAAAATAGTGGTATTTGGCCACACACACTAATGGTGGGTTTGGCCTTCGAAAGAACAATGCATATGCAGAAAATACCTCATCCCTACTGTCAAAAATGTCAGAGATGCTCAGTGAAGTGTATAAAACAGGAAAACACAAACACCTGCTGCCAGGTACACAGGATGGTGCTGTGCTGGGCTCCAGCTCTGGATGGCCGTGCGGTTGATCTCTTTGAGCTTCATCCTGATGGGGAGAAAACACAAACAAGAATGAATAATGATTTTAGCACACAGAAAGAATGGATCACAATTGATAATGAAATGGTCTTGAAAATAGTCACCTCTCCTCTTCATCTACAGTCACTTTATACAATGGCAGATATGTAGGCTAACATCTGGCTAACGTCTGATAATCAAAGAGCACAAATACAGAATAAGGGTTCTGGATATGGTGTCTCTGAACTGGGTATAGTTTTATATGGCTGTAAATAGGGTAGGAGGGCAAAGGTACATTCAAATGAAACAGACATTTTGAATGGATTCCGTGTAGTCACCATCCATTATTACTGAATAGATAGCCAAGTCACACAAAAGGAACTTTCCATTCAAAGGAGATGACACAGACAAGTTGTTTGTGCAGCAAAGTACATGGTTCGCTGGTACGCTAGCTAAAATAAGAAGCCACGCAGCAACTGCTAAAAATGCGTAGGTACCTTTCAATGAGACTACGGTTCTGACAGCAACATTTAATTTGTAAGAAAACAAAACAGACAGCTGCAAATGAGTGGTTTCTGATCGAATACACCAATGAACTCAGTAGTTAGCTAACTAGTACAGTAATAGAACAATCTGCGAGCTAGAAACTAGCAATATGGCTAGAATAGCTATGGCTAGAAGAGCTAAGCGAAATACTGTACAACAGGGTCACACACCTAGCTAATCCAAAAATGTCTTACCTTCTCAGTTCTGTTCGCTCTTATAACATGAACACATACATACACAGTCGATATGCGACAAAAACGTTGATCACTCGTGCTAGTTCCCTTTTCTTTATTGTGCAAGCTTATTAACAAGGCGACAGCTCTCGGCTGCAGAATGCAGATTCAATGAAATTCCACGTCCGCACTGGTCTTCGGCTCCATCAACGTGGCACAATAATCTCCTCCCCCTTCTCCAGGCACTTCCGGTGAAGGTCGGCCTGAACATTCCGTGCTGTACGTACAGGCCGTATATACATGTTATTTGTAGCGAACACAATTGGTTGCATACTTCACATTAGGGAGTGCACCACCATGCCATAAGTGTCAACTTTGTTGCATCAGGCAAAATGTCAACTACTGAATAGGCTGAGTAAATCCCTCAGTATCAATGTAAGCAAATCTTAATTTCCTCTCATTGCACAGTATATGCAGGCTTTGGTCCTGACCACTCAACTTCTCATGCTACCATGGTTTAGCCATTCTAGTAAACGGCCAGGTTAACCAATTTCCCTACATGCATTTCAATCGAGTTTGTGTAACCTTCACCTTCAATGTTCTATTGCCAAGACAGCACTATATGAGACACTTCACACATTTCTGAAATGATCAGTCATTCAAATTAACATACTTTGTAGTGTTTATCCCAAACATTTATTTTCATTTGACAAGGGATAGTAAATGCTTATATCAATTTGTACTGTAATTTCACAAGGCCTGGGGTGCCGTCTTTGTAGTCAATTTCACCATGGAAAACAAGACATTCCAGGGCACTCCTCTTGCTGAAGCCTGGGGCAAAACAGAAACTCAAGGTTAGTGTGAATAGGGATGTCCTTTGACAGCATACTAAATAATTATTACACAATAACCTGGCCATATAACTGAAAACTTGAAGAGTCTACACTCAATGAAGTTCAATAATAAATCTCTCCCAGGCATGGAAGACTGTCAGATTGGTAGTAATCATTAAAACAGCCTGCATGCACATCCAGATTAAATCTACCCTATAGGATTACCTACATAATACATACCCATTACCCACAGAGTGAGTTGTTGCACAGCACTGAAGAAATCAAGAGCCTCTCCTCTGTAGCTATGTCCTATACATGCCTCCGTGTGGTATCAGGGAATGGACTGTGGACTGAACTGATCTCCTGGTCCAAGTCACATCCTTTCCACCACCAACTGCATTCTGTTGGATCTGCGCCAAAATTGAAGGTTAAAATAACAGTACAATCAAAGCTAGTCAAAATAATACCAATTATAGGCTAATGCACATGTCCTCATTAATAATGTAATAGTAATAATCACTGTGGTTCATGATGTGAACAGCAGATACAGATTTTAATCATAGGACAATGATATGGTCTCAGTTGGACTCAAGCAATGTTAAATTACTGTTCAGAGCTCAAGTTGTTGAGTAGCCAATTTAATATCTTACCACGTGTCCTGTATCGGTTTGTCATCCATCCTGCAACATTGCATCAGAAGACACTAGAAAGGGCAACATATTGATACATTGTTATAACGCATCGTGCAACATTCTTGGGTCAAGCATAGGTCAAGTTACAGACCACGTGCACAGACTAGACATACAATTTTAAGCTAGTTGAGTCCTCATAGTTGTAAAAAAAGTAATCACAGAGGTTCATGATGTGAACAGCAAAGATTTAAATCATCGGACAAGGTATAAAAAATCTCTGATACTGATAGCCAATAGTCAGCACTAGCTAAATATAGCAAGCTACTAGCTAACAGCATTTATGTTTGTAGTAGCTAGCTATGCTATCAGAGGACTGACAACTTACTGCAAGATCCGCATCAAATGGCCAGTCATCATCTCGCCAACAAATGACGAAGTCATTTTCTTTATCAAAACATTCTTCAAGGTTATTATTTGCATCGGTGTCACACGACTTGCTAGAGTCTAGCTGTTCTATTGATCAAAGTGAAATGTCCAGACCTCGTGGATGTAATTTGCGCATGCGTTTTATATACACCGCAAAGCAATGTGGGAAAAACAAGAGAAAGGCGGGACATCAAAAAGATCTCTGCTGACAACAATAAATATATAAAATAGTGTTACAATTATAATTACAAAAGTGTTAAAGTATAGCTTTAAAACACTTGCAAATCAACCTCATGTCACTGTCTAAAAATAAAAAAAAATGATATCATGCACATCTGAAATCAGAAAATAATTATTTATTTTACCTTTATTTTATTTAACTAGGCAAGCCAGTTAAATAACAAATTCTTATTTACAATGACGGCCTAGGCTGGCCAAACCTGGACGACGCTGGGCCAATTGTGCGCCTCCCCATGGGACTCCCAAATCCCAATCACGGCCAGTTGTGATACAGCCTGGAATCGAACCAGGGTCTGTAGTGACGCCTCTAGCACTGAGATGCAGTGCTTTAGACCGCAGCGCCACTCGGGAGCATTTGTTTGTAAAATATTAATGCAATTTAGTGCACCAATTGAGAAGAAAAAAATTTGTACATAAATGTATAAATTTAATTTGCTTCGTAGTTCGCTTACATTACAGTCAACATCATACATATGCTTTACTGAATATAAATCTTTAAATCTGAAAATAAAAAAGTACTTTAATTCTGTGTGATACTGTGTTATAATCATGAGATAAATAATTCCTGACAGAAAGATGTTTACAAGAATGGTAACATTAGAAAAAAGAAAAACTTGATTTCACCTAGAAAGTAATACAGGCAATGGTCACGTAACATATACAATCAACCAAAATACAGAGGAGTACTATAGAGCCATTGCACATGGTCTTTGAAACATGGAGGTGCAGCAGGTAAAATTACCGATTTACACAGATCAGTTCAGTATGGTCTCAAAAAAGACTAAGTTCAATACAGAGATTCCCTCAGTAAAAAAAGCCTGGTATTGCAAACATTTTGAGAAGGTCAATTGTTTTGTTTAGTGTACATTTATTACTACAAAGTTATGGGTTAGGTTAAGTTTCTCCTGAAATATTTAGATTTGATATAAACTTTTCTGTTCTTTGATTGATAATATTGACTTATTTATTCTGTTAAATGTTTTACTTCGTTAGAAGACAATCTAAAAACCATTCCCTACCTTTTACGATCAGATTGAGGGGGTGAGTTTAGCACGATCACAGGGTTCTGGTTGTGCTCCTCTATTGGAAGCCCTTTGAAATGTCCCGCTTTGTGGGATGACAATGGATACTAGGGGTGTATTCAATGAGGTGAGAAATGTTGCAGATAGAAATGTAAACAGAGCAGACAATTCCAATCCCATACCTAAAATACCGTTGTATTGTTTTCTACACAATGCATTTATCTGAACGTTCTGTAACATTGCACCCTCCTGAACAGGCCGCAGAGAAATGTTTATTTTCTAGCATGAATAAAGCTATTAGGGATGCATCATGTCATTCAAACACACAGACCAATTGTTGATGCTGCTGTACAGCAATTTTGCAATACTTCAGCATCCAGCAAGGTCATCCATACAATAAACAACGTTTTCAGTGCATAGGGATGATTACAACTTTGAAAAGGATGTGTGATGGTGTATAACATGGTCATACTCAAACTCTTAGTAGTGAAAAACATGACGCATACAAAGGCCCTCCTTTTGGACAAGGGTCATTTGTAAACAAACGCCTGCTTGGAAGTTTTTTTTAATGTGAGTGTGTGTCTTCAATAACATTGCGGAAAAGAGCAATAGACAGACAACGTAGTAAAAGTCCTTCAATGCCCTGAGCAGAGTGGGGAACGTAAGGCAAAAGTATCCTGGGGGAAATAAGGCTACAACAACTAATATCAGTGTTTTAAAAACACACACACACACACAAATACACTCAACACACATACAAAAATATAGAAAGGGATTGGCTTTGTGAGGGGGAAATAACTGACCCAAAGGGTCTTAAAAACATCACTTTCTTTATTCAAACACTACCCAGATGCCATTAAACACACACACTTGATGGGTAGCATTACAGTGCGACACACAGAGGCAAAATCATGTGTTGCCTGGTAATCCATGATGACTTAGTAAAACACAAAGCTACCAAGCCCAAGCATCAGCTCACTGTAGCGTAAAGGCACTCTGCAATGCTAAAATAATTGCAGTGCTTCGGACATACAGTGATACTATGACTAGACTCATTATCCAATCGAACAATCTGCCCCTGGTTCTTGACGGTGATCCAACGTGTGTGTGTGTGTGCGCTATCGCTGTTCTCCATGCTTCTGGAAAGAGGCAACTTGATATTCACAAATAAATAAAAAAATAGGGGCACCTAGATTCCAATATTCATCTTTCCCTAATAAAAGTAGACAACTTTCATACCTTGCCAATTAATTTAGAGTACTATAAGCCATAAGTACTTTAGTAGAGCGAATAACTTGGATTTGATATCGTGAAACCTTACCCTTTCTGAATGTGTCAGAAACAGGACTACGCTACCCCAAAACACCCCCATTGAACAAAACCCACCATACCAAAAGATTGGTGAAAGTCAATCCAAATAGATACTATTTAGTCGTTTAAAATGGCAAATGGAATCCTAATCCGTGATTAAATTAAAGTGGGAATTTGTTAGTTGTTCCTAGATATTTTGCTAAGCTCTGAGCACAAGTTGAAACGGAGGTTGAGGAAAATAAATAGTGGGTAACGTGAGCATATTGTGGGTTACAGTATAAGCTAGCTACTGTAGGGAGATCGGCATCATGATTAGAACCTGGGTTACTACCTAAAGAATACACAGCCAGAATGTGACTTCTTTCCCTGTCTGCATCCAGAATCATCAGAAATGATTAAAACAGAGGGAGAGGGCGAAAGAGAGGGACATATGCAAACGAGCCATAATAAGATGGAGAAAAAGAAATGAGGTGATAAGAAAATAGAAGGGGGAAAAAACGGTAAAAATTCCTAGTATCAAAAAGTGTACATGGCAAGTCTAAAACAACCCCCCCTTCCCAAAACACAAACAAACTTTTGTTTGCTCCCCCTTGCACCTCTTTCTCTGGTGAGTCTCTCCCACAATCCTTATTTTTTCAGGGAGGCAGGGGGGCATGGGGTGAGCCCCTTCCTTCAGCCAAGGCTATGCCAAGGCTATTCCCACTAACTGTAAAGAAGAAGAAGCACCAGCTCCAGAGCAATTCATGTCCTCCCAACACTAGATCTATGAGGGTGGGTAAGCGGTGAGCAGTGCACAGGGATGTCCTTGCCTCCTGGTGCTTGCTGGCTGGGTCTAGCTAGCTAACAATTGACGGGACTGTGCACCACTCTCCACCCTATCCAATGCTAGCGCTATCGGGATGGGAGCGAGAGCGCACATGGGCATGGCTAGCAGTTAGTGGAGCAGACAGACAGTCCACTCCTCTCCCAATGCTTTGCCCAGAGGGTGGGCGAGAGAGACGGCGCCCAGGGCCGACTCCCCTCATCACACAGACCCACTGTTCATCTCTGAGACTGGGCGGTTAGCTAGCCCGGGAGGCAGAGAAACCAAGGACCACTACCACTCCCAATGTTTAGCTCTGAAGCTGGGGGAGAGAGGAGGCCACCATTTCCTTCTAGTCTCCCAGCACTAGTTTTCACTGGGCTGGGTGAGAGACATGCAGACAGCGAGCCCATGGACCTGCCCTAGCAGTTGATGGAGGGACAGTCCGTCTTGCCCGCTGAGCTAATGATCCTCATGAGGCAGCGTCCAAACTCTTCCAGGATCATCCTCTCTGCGGTGGCCTGGGGCTGCTGGATCAGCTCTGCCTGCTCAGCCTGCTCCAGCAGACATTCACACGTCGCCTCTGCCACCTTCTTCGTCACAAACGTAAAGGGCATCCTGGTGGAGAGAGGATGAGATTAGCCACTGTACTACCACAAGATACACAGGATAGAGGGGGAGTACAAAGCAGGATAGGCTGAAGAGGGGGAGGCGAGAGGGGGTGAGGCTACAGAGAATACATCTAAAGAGGATGGGTGGAGGAGAGGGGGTGAGGCTACAGATAATACATCTAAAGAGGATGGGTGGAGGAGAGGGGGTGAGAAGTAGGGTTGCAAAGCTAATGGTAAATAGCCTAGAGAAATAGCCTAATTAATCAAAAAAGCATTTAATCAACAATGCCATTATCTTCAATTAACCCTGCAACTCTGCCAACGATGGACTTTTTCACAACTGCCACTAGTTTGACGCCAAAATATTGACAATAAATGCACATTGACATAGTAAAATGTATATAAAGGATATTTCATGCTGAAACCCTAAATGTATATATGTAATCATCTTATTTAATTATTTCATATATTTTACATGTGATACAACTACACAGAAGGCCAGAGATTATTACAGACTGTGATAATCTGAAGTACCCAAAAGGGCCACTAGATGTATTTCGATAGATTACATAAAATCCTTGAAAGATACCAAAATTCTGGTAGTTTACTGGTAAATGTAGAACGTTTCCAGTAATATACCCTTCCTTTGCAACCCTAGTGAGAAGAGAGAGGGTGAATCAAGAAAGGGGGGTGAGGCTGGAGAGAGTGAGTCTAGAGGGAGTCTTACCTCCCCCCTCCGCTGGTGATGGCGGGGGTGGTCCTTGTGAGCAGGTCTGAGATCTGTGACGACAGCTTGGTCTTGGCTGCCGTCTGTTGTTGAACTCTGACCTCAGCTGCATCAGCCAGGTGCATCAGAGTCTTCCTCTCAGGGCTCTCCTCAAAGTTCTTACAGCCAACACACTTACAGTTAGACGAGCACATGATCTTGGCCTAGCAGAGAGAGAGTGGGTAGGGGAAGAAACAGTAAGGCTGAGTCTCAATTAGGTAAACCAGGGGTGGGGAATCTTAGCCCCGAAAACGATGAGTTCAATTAGGTGTTAGTGCTCCCCTGTAGCTCAGTTGGTAGAGCATGGCGCTTGCAACGCCAGGGTTGTGGGTTCGTTTCCCACGGGGGGCCAGTATGAAAATGTATGCACTCACTAACTGTAAGTCGCTCTGGATAAGAGCATCTGCTAAATGACTAAAATGTAAAAATATGTTATGGCTTTTTTTTACTGCTTGGCTGGAACAAAAGCCAGCACCCACACCAACCCTTTGTGGACAAGTAATGTCTTCACTAGGGCTGTTACGGTGACCGTATTACCGCCAGTCACAAGTCATGACCGCAGTCAAATTCCATGGGATCGTTGAGTCACGATAACTAGGCTTCTCCAAGCTGCACTCTGATGCCGATGATGGTCATTAGTAGCCTACTAAAACTTGCTAACGGCCAGGTACTCAGCACTCTATTGTCCCTCTAATCATTCTGACATCAATGCAAATGCTATCGAAAAATTAATAAAATCGGGGCCTCCCGAGTGGCGCAGTCGTCTAAGGCACTAGAGATCCTGGTTAGAGTCCAGGCTCTGTTGCAGCCGGCCGCGACCGGGAGACCCATGGGGTGGTGCACAAATGGCCCAGCGTCGTCCAGGTTTGGGGAGGTTTTGGCCGTCAGGGATGTTCTCTTCCCATCGCGCACTAGCGACTCCGGTGGCGGGCCGGGCGCAGAACACGCTGACACGGTCGCCAGGTGTACGGTGTTTCCTCCGACACATTGGTGCGGCTGGCTTCCGGGTTAAGCGGGCATTGTGTCAAGAAGCAGTGCGGCTAGGTTGGGTTGTGTTTCAGAGGACACACAGCTCTCGATCTTCGCCTCTCCCGTGTCCATACGTGAGTTGCAGCGATGGGACAAGACTGTAACTACCAATTGGATACCACGAAATTGGGGAGAAAAAGGGGTAAAAAATAAAAATAAAAAATTCAAATCAAACACTTTATGAGCCCTGGAATTCAGAGTTTGAGCAGAATAGGATCACCTGTTGCGCAGGACCTCTGAAACAGGGTTGGAGAGCCCATAGCCTAGTGAAACGTGATCTTATAAGCCCAGTCATTGCGCAATCGTGTGTGAAAACAGAGTTTTGACTGGACACTATTAAAAAAAAGGATCCCAGCTTTCTCGTGCTGCTATATTTATTCCTAAAATTAAGCACATTAATCCGCTTTACAACCACCTGGTATATTAAAAACGTAACCGCATCAAACCTCCATTCGCAGGCTACGGATTACGGATAAAGAACAGATTAAATTGAGAGTGATGAAGTGTGTGCAGCCTGCGCAAGAAACAGAGCAGAGCGCATGCCTTTCATGCGAAAAATAAATAAATAACATTATTGCAGTCGCATCATGCAGCCTTAGAAATCAAAACATATAGCGTAAGTAAGGTTTGTATCACAACTAAAGTTGCATAAATAACTATTTTTAAAATACTTTTACCTCTTTCTCCCCAATTTTGTGATATCCAATTGGTAGTTACAGTCTTGTCCCTTCGCTGCAACTCCCGTACGGACTCGGGGGAGGCGTAGGGGAGTTATCCTCCGAAACACGACCCTGCCAAGCCGCACTGCTTCTTGACACACCGCTCGCTTAACCCGGAAGCAAGCCGCACCAATGTGTGACCAAAATCAGCTTGCAGGCGCCCGGCCCGCCACAAGGAGTCGCTAGAGTGCGTTGGGACAAGGATATCCCGGCCGGCCAAACCCTCCCCTAACCTGCACGACGCTGGGCCATCTGTGCGGATTTCTTTGTCCCATCGCACTCCAGCGACTCCTTGTGGCTGTGGCGGGCAGGGTGCCTGCAAGCTGATGGGTCATGGGTGTCCCGGTCACGGCCGGCTGTGACACACCCTGGGATTGAACCCTGTAGTGACGCCTCAAGCACCCTGTAGACCGCTGCGCCACTCGGAAGGCCAAATGATCACTTTGTTAACCCCTCAACACAGAATAACAGCATGTGTGAACAACCTCTGAAATCGTTCTGGAAAAATATCATTTCAAATTTTATTCAGCTATGTTCAACTGTATTCTTCTTACCATAAAATAATGCCACGGGAATTATAAGCCAATCTTATCTGCTAAATGAACTAGTGTAGCCAACTGCCATATGGCATAGCCAGATCAGGGCCTAACATAAGGACGACTCAGAATATACTATTCTGTTCTTCTAAAATAGGCTACATTTTCTTCATATCATAATGTTTCTTTAGACCGGCCTAAAATAAATAATGGATTTCTTGTGATGGTGTAGGCTATATTAAATGGATTTATTCAACTTTTTAAAATGTAGATGTTCCAAAGGTCCACATCAGTGGCTTGTAGGCTATGCGTGGAAGCCCGGAGATGCTAAACGTGTTTATGTTAATTAACGGTCAATTACTGTGAGACCGGCAGTTATTTACATGACAGTTAAAGGCTGACAAAATGTCATGACCGCCACAACCCTAGTCTTCACATCGTTTCCTACCTTTCATCTACACTGATATCAAAAGATTGGAAAAGTGAAAGTAAGATGGAATAGAACAGTACGGAATAAAACTAACAGCCACCCGTAGAAGGACAGGTGTGTTGGTGAGAGAGAGAGGGAGGCCCACCTCGTAACACTCGCAGTAGTTCTTCAGGCAGCCTGAGCGTTTACAGTTGCAGCCTTTGCTGTGTCTGCGATCCGACTCGCCCTCTTTACCTTTACCGATCTTCGGCTTGAACGCCTCCGGGTTACGGTCCAGACACGCCTGGGGAAATAATACACCCCTTTTAAAACAACTCTTTACACAAGTAGTCAGATATAACGGGGTGGTTACTTTTCACACAAGACCAAATGATAACACTAATCAAGGAGTACATTAGTCACACAACGTTTTTCTCCACACAAAAACCAAGCAAGGTGTGACAAATAGAGTTGAGTCAAATCTGATTTGTCTTGCAGTGGTGGCCTGTTCCTCACCTTGATGGCTTTAGCTCGCTCGGTCTCGTGTTCCAGGTTGTTGAAGCAGTTGGTACAATTACAGCTCTGACAGAACTCCCCGTTGGCAAAGCAGTCACAGTACCTGCAGAGAGAGCAAGACCCCATTCAGACACAACATGGACAGCTAGAGGTTAGGCCCATCTCAATGACATCTACACTCTAAATACAGGAATTCTGTTACACATGAACAGTTGAGTGGGTTGAGTTCCCTGTAAGTTATTATAGTACATTACAGTTTGAGACACTGAGACTTGTTGCAGTTGCAGGACTTCCGTGGTCTGGAGGCAGCGTCTGATGTTGATAAGCTGTGGGAGGAAGGAATACGTTTATGATTAGTCAGCGCATTGAGTTTATAACAACGTCGTCATAAAAATCTGTGGATGTTCCCTTGAGCAAGGCACTTAACCCCAATTTGCTCCAGGGGTGGCGTACTACTATGGCTGACCCTGTAAAACAACACATTTCACTGCATCTATCCGGTGTGTGACACAAAAACATGAAATACAGTGAGCTCCACAAGTATTGGGACAGTGACACATTTTTTGGTTTTGGTTCTGTACACCAGCACTTTGGATTTGAAATGATACAATTACTAAATTGTAAATAAGAATAGAATATGTTTCTAAACACTTGTACATTAATGTGGATGCTACCATGATTACAGATAATCCTGAATGAATTGTGAATAATGATGAGTGACAAAGTTACACACACAAATATCATACACCACCCCAAAAATGCTAACCTTATATTTGTGTGTCTTTCTCATTCATCATTATTCACGATTCATTCAGAATTATCCGTAATCATGGTAGCATCCACATTAATGTACAAGTGTTTAGAAACATTTTAATCTTATTTACAATAAAAGTGACTCCAAAATTGTACAACACATTATTTACCATTAATTTCTTTAGGGCACAAAATAATCTGAAACATAACCCAAACAAACAGCAAATGCATCTAACAGATTTGTAGAGTCACAAGCTTGATGTAGTCATTGTGTGCTATGAATATGGGACCACAAATACTAAACGTTTTACTACTTTAATGCGCATATAAGTGAATTTGTCCCAATACTTTTGGTCCCCAAAATGAGGGGACTATGTACAAAGTGCTGTAATTTCTAAACGGTTCACCCAATTTGGATGAAAATACCCTCAAATTAAAGCTGACAGTGCACTTTAACCTCATAGTCATTGTGTCATTTCAAATCCAAAGTGCTGGAGTACAGAGCCAAAACAAACAAATGCTTTTGGAGCTCTGTAAATAAATAAATCTAGCATTTCAAACATCAAAACAAGGTCCCAATACTTTTGTACTCCTGAGTGGCGCAGTGGTCTAAGGCAGTGCTAACTGTGCCACTAGAGATCCTGGTTCGAATCCAGGCTCTGTCGCAGCCGGCCGCGACCGGGAGACTCATGGGCGGCGCACAATTGGCCCAGCGTCGTCCAGGGTAGGGGAGGGAATGGCCGGCAGGGATGTAGCTCAGTTGATAGAGCATGCAACGCCAGGGTTGTGGGTTCGATTCCCACGGGGGGCCAGTATAAAAATAATATATGTATTCACTAACTGTAAGTCGCTCTGGATAAGAGCGTCTGCTAAATGACTAAAATGTAAATGTAAAAATGTAAGGTGCTTGATCGCAAACCGTATTTTTACTGACAAGGACTTCTTTCCCATCAAAGCACAGATCATATCCAGCTGGAGATTTCCACTGTGTGATGGTGTGCTTACCCGTTGAGAGGCAGTCTGGCCTGAGTCTGGATGCCTGTAGGGGTGGAGAACCCAGAGCTGCTGGCCAAAGTCACATACGCAGACTGTTGGAGCTGGACGAGAGCGAGAGAGACGTGAGAACACGGACACACACACGTTTAAAATACATCCAACACACATCCCAGCCTTGTACCTGTGTGACATAATGTGCGGGCAGCACAGCGTAGCCCATGTTCCCAGACCCAGGCGCTAGCACGGTGCCCGGAGGTAGGTTGGTGAGGTTCGGCTGGATCTGGGGCAGGGGCGTGGCGGGCATGATCAACCTCTGCTGTGTCTGGGTTGTCAGCACCTGGCCCGACGATGTCAGGGGCTTGGGCACCACCTGAGAGAGGGGGACAGTAATGAAGTTTAGTTAAAATTACACTATATTAATTGATAGTGCATGTATGTAGCTGTTGTGGCCGAGTGAATGACTGTGTAGGGGAGCAATTCAATCTGTATGTAACGTGTGTTTGTGTGTCACCTGCTTCATGGTCTGTGCTGGGATGAAGGGGACAGACATCCTGACTTGGGCTGTGTTGACCACCATGGGCTTGGCTGTGGAAGGAACAGAGTTCATATGAAACACCAGCACACAGTGGTAAATGCTCCTGTATATTATGGCACTGTTTGGACCTAAAAGACTTCCCCTACCAGTCTCTATGGATGGTCAACCAATCAATCAAATGTATTTATAAAGTTTACATCAGCAGATGTCACAAAGTGCTATGGATGGTGAGTCGGGAGTCTGTCTCCTACCTGTCATGGATGAGATGGTGCTGTGGCTGCCAGCCTGTCCCGTGCTGCTGCCCGTGGTGGCAGTGACCAGCCTGACGTAGTGGAAGCGGCTGCCTGGCACCTGGATCTGCTGCACGTTGGACGAGGTGGAGTGGGGGAAGATGGTCTTAAACTGGGGGCCGCCCACCGTCACAGTCTGCACCGGCTTCATTGGCTGTGAGGAGAGAGGAGAAGAATGGTCAAGATCATCAGCAGTAGCATGCCTGATTCAAATGATCAAGGTCTTGGTGATAAACTTGGTGGGCTTGTGGTTAGAGTGTCCGCCGTGAGATTGGAAGGTTAGGAGTACGATCCCCGGCCAAGTCATACCAAAGTTAAAATAGGACGCAATGCGTCTCTGCTTGGCACTCAACATTAAGGAGATGGCCCTGCGATAGACTAGTGTCCTGTCCAGGGGGTGTACTGGACAGGACACTAGACTCATGCTCCTATGAGCTGTTCCGGAAGGCTACTTTTTGGTGATTAGTTGGCTAGTTGAAATCAGGTGATCCAGTGCTTGAATAGAACAAAAAAATTGCAGTCCTGAGGCTGGGGTCCCAGAGACCCAGAGAAACACTGTTATAGAGGTTAGTTGTACCTATGCAGTAGAATGGCTGGAGACTACCTTGGCTGGGGAGGTGGCTGTAGACTGTTGTACTAGTATCTGATGTCCAAGGTGGGCCATGTTGAGCGGCAGAGACACTGACTTCTGAGGGGAGTTGGGGACCTGGGAGGCCACCGACACCACTGTCAACTGTTACACAAAGAGAAAACAGAATGATATGTTTAGTCATGAAATCCAAAACGCAAAATGGGGAAAACTGCAGAGGGATTAAGTGGCAGCATGTCTGACCTTGCTAGGTGACTTGAGCGGGGAAATGGCAATCTTGCTGCTGGTGCTGAGGGTCTCAGAGAGGGTGATGGTCCGCGGGGGAGTCACTGGGCTGCTTGTGGACAGGACTCGACCTGGGAGGTGGGGTTGGGGGAGGGCACAGAATCACAACGATGAGGTCAGAACCAGGGGCAGGGATCAAAGTCTACATACATTTCTATGGCTCAAAGCAGTTATGACAGTTTTAACTCAGGCTGTACGTTCAATGATTACACAGCTGTCCATGAGTGTGTGGCACATTACAAAGCAAGCATTCTTTCTATGAAGGGGTCAATATGAGAAACACGTGAGGGTGATTACCTGTAATGACATTGGATACTGATGTCTGGGCGGTCAGACCTTTGTTGTTGACAGCTTTAGTGATGATGAACTTGATTGGCCCAGCTGACGACACCTGCGTTTTCTTTGCAATCTGTTGGCAAATACATTTATTTACCTTTACTGTAAACTACAGCAAAGAAGAGACCTACACATAAAGCCTACCAAATCACCAGCAAAACTCCTCCACCAAAGGTAACCCATGGCTAAATTATTCTTGTCACTACAAAACGTGTACACAGCTGAGCATAGACAAACAGGTTAACAAACAAGTAAACAAATCAGGTCTCACCTGAACAGTCTTCAGCTGCTGGGCCTGCAGGGTGGACACCTGACTGGCCGAGCTGACCGCCTGCCCCACCATGACCGGCTTCAGGTCTGTCCTCCCCGCTATCGTCACCACCTTGAAATGCTGCGGGTGGGCCTTGGCCTCCCCCTGCCCTGAGCCAGGCTTGGAGCCCGTGTGGGGCAGCTGGAGCACAATAGACTGGCCTGACTTGCCTATGGCCGTCACCATGAACTTCTGGCCCCCTGGAGTGGTGGTGGTAGTTGTGGTGGTGATGCCTGGGTACCTGGTGGTGTCTGCTCCCGGGGATGAGGCCACCTTATTGAGGACGATCTGGTGGTTGGCTGAGAGGATGAAGGGAGCTGAGAGCTTCTGTAAGCCCCCCGAGGTGAGACTGACCCCGGCCGGGCTGCTGGTGGTTTTGGGGGTGGTGGAGGTGAGGGTGGAGGCTGTGGTGGGTCGGAGGGTGAGGGGGGAGGATGAAGGTATGGAGGGGGTGAGGAGGAGCTGGGTGGCGGAGGTGGTGCTACAGAGGGTGGAGTCTGTGGTGATGGAGGTGGTCAGGGCCTGGGTCCGCTGGGTCGGAGGGGCATTCGAACACAGGCTAACGATCTCTGGGACGGCGGGCACATCTGTTTCCATGGGGATTGGTGCATTGTCGCTGGGCTGTGATTGGCCAGAGGCTGCAGGGGACTCTGAGGGAGGGTCGTCGTCCATGACGATGGCCTCTGTGTCCATTATCTCGTCAGGGAGGAGGATGTTCAGCTCTGGCGACACCACGTCCATGTCTGCAGGTTTACACTCAGCTCAACTCAGTCACTGCAGGAGACAAAACAGGGAACGTCAGAATGTCAGTCCAATGGCTCCACCAAGCTATTAGACCTGTAAAACACCTTTTCTGGTACTTTCGTTTCGTGTCAAACTGACGGAAATAGATTGTCCAAAACATTTGCTGCTGCAACTTTTGGGATATAGCCTAAACATGCATTTCCAACCAGAGGTTTTTTAGATCCTGCTTGGTGCCAATAAGCAATTGATAGGCAACCAAGAACAATTACAAAAGTATTTTCTATCAATAAATAAAAGTGAGATGCCTAGTGGGATGCCTTAAACTGAATGACCTTTTCCCAATTCCTGCATATGAACATGTGTTGATGTTTGCATAGAACGATGTGGATGTTGCACACACACACACACACACTACTGCAAAGACAGGGGAAGGTGCAAACCCATTGATTTTAAGGATGTCATTGTCATATACAGCTCAAAACATGCAGTGTGTGACATCAGTAAATATATTAAGATTCATAGATCTGCTATCAATAACGCAAGACTCAAGAGCAAATCCACCAAATAGTTTCAAAGACAGCGATGAATTCATAAGAAATGAACATGTTGTTACACACATAGGCAATGCAACATCGTGTATCTGACGTTACAGAATACATTCATAAATTATCTGTTTAAATAGCATTAGAAATGTTGCAATGGATCTGCAGTGGTAGTAACACTAACGTTAGATAGCTAAATGCGGTAGTTTAGCCAACCACCAAGAACAATAACAAATATTTGTTTATGTAACGACATTATGACCCTAACTCTTTGATTGCAATACTACATTAAACGCTTACTTTGCAACAAAGTCCACCTGATTTCGAACGGTATAAGTTAATAGAGTTTAGCTAGCTAGCTAACTAACATGTAATCGATTGTGTGGATAGCTAGTTAGCTAGCTAGCTAACGTAGCTAGCTTGGCTAGGCCGCTTCGGACATCAAGAAAATAACAATCTTTGTCCTACCTCCGCCGTACTCCAAATAAGACAGATGGCCCACTACAAGTCGATAAACTACGGGGTATCGATGTTCATCTTCTCAATTTTCTAAAGGATATGATCGGAGCCTGATTCCTGTTTTCTCAACTAAGCAGCCTGTCAAAATCATCAATTGGTGACAGGAGCAGCACTATGAAAACGAACAGCTAGCTTACCAGCTAGCTACGTTTCTATTTTCAGGCCGGGGTTGGATTTCGAAAGATCCGCCATTTTCACCTCGTCATCAGTTAACTAAAGAGATGAGAGGAAGAAAGAGCAATAGAGATGAACGCCCATGCCATGGATCTTGTTTACCAATGAAGTAATTGGGGCACAGTTTACAATAGATTATTACCGGGTAGTGCAACACAGTAATATTACAAGAGTAATCCGCGTTGTCACATACTGTTACAAACCATATGATCTTGTAAATATTTACATGGTACTCTGTGTAGAACTATACAGTGAATAACGACACGAATAATACATCTAAATTATTGTCCATTGGTAATCAACTGTGGTGAACTGTTATTTTGTGTTTTTTGGAAAGCAGATTCAAATGTAAAATAATCAAATGTCATTAGAACTGCGCTTTTTACAGTAAGTTGTCACAGAACAAAACCCCAGAAACCTAGATAAAAAAGGGGGATATGACCTCCCTTGGGAAGAAAGAAACCTTCAGAGGAACCAAGCCCCAGAGGCGAGCATCAAACCATTTGACAGTCAAAGCCCCAGCTGCTTTCAAGCCATTTCACAAAACAGACAGTAGACAGACTAGACTAGGAGGGTATTTTCAGGCTAGCCAAAATTGAATAGACAGGATTACTGCAGTGGCAAAAAAAACCCTGCAAGCTAAACAACGACAAGCCCTAACGGCAAACTGGGCGAGCGAAATTAGAAAATTACTCTCCATCCGTCAGGGTGCTGGAAACAAGCTAGCGGGCTGCATTTGCAATGAATTTGATGTCATTCACATTAAATCACATAAAGTTACAGACTGAATAATCAATGTCATTCTCAAAGATCAGCAAAATAGTTATGCAATCTAACGTTAGCTATGCAACGTTGATAGTCACCTTTATCTGAACGAAAGGCAAATAAAGGTGTTATAATGTGCCTATGCATGTTTTCCAACTTCATATCGCTCCTACAACAGGAGTCCTATGCTAAGCTAAGTTAGCTGTTAGAATAAGCCATCTTCATATGCAGCTAGCTGTCTGCTAACTGTCCAAATGGACATAATCAGCTGTTAGCTAGCCAGCCTGGCCAGCAGCTAACTCATTAGCATTTTGGCTAACATTATCTTGCCCCTTTCACACAGCGAATAGATTCTTACGTGGCTTGTTTTTCCCCTCCGTGCAATACTTGACTCAAAACGTGTTAACGCACACACTCCTTCGCCGTTCCGTACAGGCGGAGCAACATCTCGGTAAAACGCACAGAAACGTAGACGATTGTTCAAAATACCGCGCCTAGCGCCATTTCACCCCTACCATCCCATAATAACGTCACGCCCTCCTTGACAACCACATGGCGCGTCATCGAACTACTTCCGGCCTCGCTCTTAGCGCTTGATAGCGCTACAACAAAGGAGTGCGTTCGTAAATTAACTCTGGCTATATACTCCGATTTCTGAGCGCTCTCGTCAGAGTGTGCCAGAGCGCAGAATAATTAATGAATTTACGAACGCGCAATACCAGTTGAATATGACAGGTTTCAGTAAACGTCGACAAAAAACGTAATTAAATTGTTGCCAGCAGCACAGTTACAGTCACCAACGGTCTAGATAACGCTAATGCCAGGGCGAGTAAAATGGTCAGAGTGAGGTGTTCTCTCGTTTGTGTCTGGAAGTAGCTAGCAAGCTAGCCAACTTTAGACAGTTAGCTTGGGTGCTTGGCTGCCGTTGTAAGGTCAGAACGCTTCGATCAACCCTACTCCTCCGCCAGAGCGTCCAGTGTATGCTCCGAGAGCGAAACGCTCTGAATTTATGAATGGTCAATCTTGACAATGCTCTGAATTTATGAACGCCCAGACTGCACTCTGAGCGTCCTCTGGCACTCCAAAGTGAATTTACGAACACACCCTCAACAAGACCGCAAAGTGCACAAAAATAAAGATTTTGGAATTATTAGTCCAACAGTTGCAAACGAGAATTTCTATTGGACAAATTCAGGTATGTTTATCCACATTTTGTTCCGTTTGAGAAACGTTTTTCAACAGAATCGGCGGAATGAATACACCCCTGATCACACGTAAACACAGTTCACTTTCATAGCAGCCACGTTGTATTCATTCTCGCCTCTATGGGCTCTCCTCCTCTCACCTTTTCCATTCGCTTGTTGACTTCAATGCACAACACATCAGCTGTATGTGACCAGGCGAAAAACCCTTTCCTAGCCAAATCATATAATAACCGCTACACACAGACAACATCGTTGTCACCATATTAGCTAGAGTAATGTCATAGTCAACATAGCTAATAGAACTAATGAGTTAGTAAACCCGCTACAATCATGCAGTAATGTTAGTGTAAGCAGTTTAGCAGTTACACCGGAGGTCCCTGGTGGCAATACATTTGTAAAACCAAAAGCTTACCTTGACTTGGAAGAGTTCCAGTGTTGTGTTGGATAGTCATAGCCAGCTAGCTAACATGGCATCCCTCTGTTTGAGCCAGTTGTTTGAGTAGGCTAAACTAGCTAGCTGCATTTGCTAGCTAATAAGTGAACATGAAAGAGAGAAAAAGTTACAAAGCTCTCTCTCTACCTCTCTCTTGCTTCTCCTTCATTTTTGAAGAAATGTATTTGTTAAAATCCGTTCAACTATTGTCTTTCTCTCTCTTTTAGTCAACTACTCACCACATTTTATGCACTGTGCAGTGCTAGCTAGCTGTAGTTTATGCTTTCAGTACTATATTAATTCTCTGATCCTTTGATTGGGAGGACAACATGTCAGTTCATGCTGCAAGAGCTTTGATAGGTTGGAGGACATCCTTCGGAAGTTGTCATAATTACTGTGCAAGTCTATGGAAGGGGGAGAGAACCATGAGTCTCATCTGTAACTGTTTTAAAATCACCATTGGCCTCATGGTGAAATCTCTCTGCGGTTTCCTTCCTCTCCGGCAACTGAGTCAGGAAGGACACCTGTATCTTTGTAGTGACTGGGTGTATTGATACACCATCCAAAGCCTAATTAATAACTTCACCATGCTCAAAGGGATATTCAGTGTCAGCTTTTTTTTTTTTTTTTTCTTTTTTTTTTGTACACATCTACCAATTGGTGCCCTTCTTTGCAAGGCATTGGACAACCTCCCTGGTCTTTGCAGTTGAATCTGTGCTTGAAATTCATTACTTGATTAAAGGACCTTATGTGTGGGGTACAGAGATTGGGTAGTCATTCAATCTTGTTAACCACTATTATTGAACACAGAAAGTGAGTCCATGCAACTTATGTGATTTGCTAAGCACATTTTTACTCCTGAACTTAATTAGGCTTGCCATAACAAAGAGGTTGAATACTTATTGACTCAAGACATTTCAGCTTTTCATTTTTAATTTCATTTGGGATGTGAATACTTTCTGAAGGTATGGAAGTATATGCAATATAATGTTCACAGGCTGATCAAACAACAATGGAACAATTATTGGGTGGATCTCATCTTAAAAACCATGGCATTTGGTAAATCTTTGCTATCAGATCGGATTTACCTAGACTAACTCATCATTGAAACAACAGTGTTACAAATAGCAGAACTACATGTTTTAGGAAAATTGGTCATACTGGGAAATAATACATGTCCAAGAGATCCAAATCTGGTAGCGTATTGGTTTGATACAGTGCCTTGCAAAAGTATGCATCCCCCTTGGCGTTTTTCCTATTTTGTTGCATTACAACCTGTAATTTAATGGATTTGTATTTGTATTTCTTGTAATGGACTTACACAAAATAGTCCAAATTGGTGAAGTGAAATGAAAAAATAACTTGTTTCAAAAAAGTCTAAAAAATAAATAACGGAAAAGTGGTGCGTGCATATGTATTCACCCCCTTTGCTATGAAGCCCCTAAATAAGATCTGGTGCAACCAATTACCTTCAGAAGTCACATAATTAGTTAAATAAAGTCCACCTGTGTGCAATTTAAGTGTCACATGATCTGTCACATGATCTCAGTATATATACACCTGTTCTGAAAGGCCCCAGAGTCTGCAACACCACTAAGCAAGGGGCACCACCAAGCAAGCGGCACCATGAAGACCAAGGAGCTCTCCGAACAGGTCAGGGACAAAGTTGTGGAGAAGTACAGATCAGGGTTGGGTTATAAAAAAATATCAGAAACTTTGAACATCCCACGGAGCACCATTAAATCCATTATTAAAAAATTGAAAGAATATGGCACCACAACAAACCTGCCAAGAGAGGGCCGCCCACCAAAACTCACGGACCAAGCAAGGAGGGCATTAATCAGAGAGGCAACAAAGACACCAAAGATAACCCTGAAGGAGCTGCAAAGCTCCACAGCGGAGATTGGAGTATCTGTCCATAGGACCACTTTAAGCCCTACACTCCACAGAGCTGGGCTTTACGGAAGAGTGGCCAGAAAAAAAGCCATTGCTTAAAGAAAAAAATAAGCAAACACGTTTGGTGTTTGCCAAAAGGCATGTGGGAGACTAAAATTGAGGTTTTTGGCCATCAAGGAAAACGCTATGTCTGGCGCAAACCCAACACCTCTTATCACCCCGAGAACACCAGCCCCACAGTGAAGCATGGTGGTGGCAGCATCATGCTGTGGGGATGTTTGTCATCGGCAGGGACTGGGAAACTGGTCAGAATTGAAGGAATGATGGATGGCGCTAAATACAGGGAAATTCTTGAGGGAACCTTTTTCAGTCTTCCAGAGATTTGAGACTGGGACGGAGGTTCACCTTCCAGCAGGACAATGACCCTAAGCATACTGCTAAAGCAACACTCAAGTGGTTTAAGGGGAAACATTTAAATGTCTTGGAATGGCCTAGTCAAAGCCCAGACCTCAATCCAATTGAGAATCTGTCGTACAGTGAGGGAAAAAGTATTTGATCCCCTGCTGATTTTGTACGTTTGCCCACTGACTAAGAAATGATCAGTCTATAATTTTAATGGTAGGTTTATTTGAACAGTGAGAGACAAAATAACAACAAAATCCAGAAAAACACATGTCAAAAATGTTATAAATTGATTTGCATTTTAATAAGGGAATTAAGTATTTGACCCCCTCTCAATCAGAAAGATTTCTGGCTCCCAGGTGTCTTTTATACAGGTAACGAGCTGAGATTAGGAGCACACTCTTAAAGGGAGTGCTCCTAATCTCAGCTTGTTACCTGTATAAAAGACACCTGTCCACAGAAGCAATCAATCAATCAGATTCCAAACTCTCCAGCATGGCCAAGACCAAAGAGCTCTCCAAGGATGTCAGGGACAAGATTGTAGACCTACACAAAGCTGGAATGGACTACAAGACCATCGCCAAGCAGCTTGGTGAGAAGGTGACAACAGTTGGTGCGATTATTCGCAAATGGAAGAAACACAAAATAACTGTCAATCTCCCTTGATGAGAGAATAGGATGCAGCTGCGTAGGCAGGAATCACTGGAAACAACCCGCAGCTGCACAGGAGAGGCAGATCCTGAGCACGCCCCCCGATCCACTCCAGACACACACCGGCAGACGCACCAACATAATGGGGACAAACACACATACAGATACAACAGACAAAGAGGGGACAAAACAAGGAGGAAGGGAAACAGAAAAGGGAGAGACAAGCTGCCCACATAACAGTACCCCCCCCTCAATGGTCGCCACCTGGCGACCCACCAGGCCTGTCAGGGTTGTCGTGATGGAAGTCCGTGATCAGCTGAGGATCCAACACAAAACGCTTAGGGACCCAAGACCTCTCCTCTGGTCCATAACCTTCCCAATCGACTAGGTATTGGAGACCCCTACCCCGCCTCCGAGAGTCCAGGAGCCTACGGACGGTGTAGGCCGGATGGTCGTCAATGAGGCGAACAGGTGGAGGTGGATCTGCCGGCGGACACAAAAGGCTGGAGGACACAGGTTTCAGTTGGGAGACGTGGAAAGTAGGGTGTATCTTCATGGCTGAAGGCAACTTCAAACGAACCGCAGCGGGGTTAACGATGGACTCTACCACAAACGGACCCAGGTACCGAGGAGACAGCTTGCGTGATTTGGTACGAAGAGGTACGTTCTTTGATGACAGCCAAACTTCTTGACCAGGATGAAACACAGGTGCGGGAGTCCTGCTCCTATCCGCTGTCGTCTTGTTCCTGTCGGTGGTCCGAAGCAACGCTTCCCGAGCGTCGCTCCACACTCTCTGGCAGCGGTGGAGGTTCTCCTGAACCGAAGGAACAGCCAATTCCTTCTCCTGAGCAGGAAACAGAGGGGGTTGATAACCCATGGTTACTTCGAAGGGTGAAAGGCCGGTGGCAGAGGTGGTGAGGGAGTTGTG